CTCCCCCCCGGCCCTCCGCAACCGTACACTGTCTCCTAACTATTTGCCTTTCCTTTCCTAGCCTTCAGTCATTAAAGAGTGTTTACCTGTATATATCCTTACTGGGCTTCGGGATACTTCGCGCCCATAATTCTTATTGAAAATGTTCTAAATGTTACTTTAACTGCCACAATTGTGCTGTTGATAGAAAAGTTTTTTAATTTAGTTTTTATAATCATTTTTAACTGCAAACTTTTTGAGTTTTATTTCCAAAAGGAAAAATTTCAAATATTTAGAGTTTGTTTTAAAACGAGGTCAAAATTAATATATAAATATAAGACGAATATTAACTTCATGCCTACGGGGATAAAAATTTTAGCTGGTAATTCGATAAGATCGATATCCAACCTGATAACTTTTAAACTGAAGGATTTTAGTTTCTCTTCGGAGGAAATCCAAAATAGATAGTTTAGAAATTAAACTTTTAATTTAAGCTTTGAACATTCGGCCGAGTTTTACCGAGTTCCACAATCAAAATTTGAGATAAATCGGTCAAGGGGTTCATGAGTTATGATCGGACCTAAGAACAGACAAACAAACAGAGATTAGCATTTTATGAACAGGTTTTAAATCCAACAGTGTCACCCTCAGAACTCCTTGTAACCTTCTAACAGTGTCATCCTCAGAACTCCTTGTAACCTCCCAACAGTGTCACCCTCAGAACTCCTTGTAACCTCCCAACAGTGTCACCCTCAGAACTCCTTGTAACCTCCCAACAGTGTCACCCTCAGAACTCCTTGTAACCTCCCAACAGTGTCACCCTCAGAACTCCTTGTAACCTCCCAACAGAAGAATCCCTTTTACAATTGTCTAACAGTCTAAAGGTGTAATGGGCAGTTTATTAAAACGGAGTCAGCTCATTATTAGTTTTTAGGATTCCCAAGATATGTATTCATTGAACTCTTTTAAATGAATGCATTGACATCATTTCATCAACTTTGACGTTATCACTGCAGAACAAAGTCCAATGAGTTCACTTAAATTTAGCTATGTCAGGGGGGGGGGCACAGTATAAAAAATATTTTAAGGAATTGAGTTTTTGCCACAAACTCAGATTTTCTAATTCTTATTTTCCTAGACCTTTGATATTTCAAACTTTTAATTCTGGTAGATCAATAAGTCTTAAGTTTGAAATTACATCATCAGGTTGCAAAGATATAGGGGTTAGAAAATTTAAGTTTGTTGCTACTTGCAAAAACTCAATTCCTTTGTGATAATTTAGGAGTTAAGCGCTACAAGCTTAAATCAAATTTTGTTTAAAATATAAAATTTTTGTTTTAGATGGAATTTTACTTTAATATTGCTGGAAAATGCATACCCCTCCCACTGGGTACAGTATAAATATTTAATGAAGTATCTACTTATATTTCATCTGCAAATATTTGTTTTAGAATATTTAATCGTCAACTAAATAAATAGATAATTATATTATTCATGCTTAATTTTGATGAAAATAATTGAAATAAATATTAACAAAATCTTAAGTATATTTATCAGCTCCCTTACATTAAATTTAAGTCGCAATTTTGTTATTTTGTAGAAAGGTGTGGGGCCGGGGAGATTAAAAAAATTCTTAAAATTTCAAAACTTTGTAAGCGAATGAAAGCATCTTCATCTTCCCCTGTTTTAGTTGTAAATTTCCGTTTTCTCGCCCCAACCCAGGCCCCCCTTGTTTATGATTTTTTCAAGGTCATCAGGAATAAATATTTAACTGATGATGATAATAACATCTATATTTCAAATTTGAATTTTTTAAAATTAAAAGAATAAAACATGTTTTTTAAACTAAAATTTAATATTTTCAACGTGACATGCGGTTTAAAACCGTAAAATAAAAGAAAGGATAGCTAGATATTTGTATTCAGTCAATAGTTGAACAAATTATTGATTAGAACTTCAAATTTAAATTTAATAACATCTTTATTACTACAGTGTAAGTTTAGTGATTCATTGGCATAAAAAACAGCCCAAAGAACTAAATTTCATAATCATGTAAAATTTTGATTATTTTTATATGATTATAACCTAGTATCACAAAATATTATAATTTTTGCAATGTTATAAAATTTACCTATTGCTTGAATAGTCTCATCATTTCATTTATTCTATTAATATTTATGTTTTGAGGGTTTAAAACAATAAAACTCTGGTATAATACACAATATTATAGGACCGGAGACTGTATTGAAATATATGTCAGCCTCTGCATATTATATCATCAGATCAGTAAACGATTTTGTATTGATATATATGCTAACCACATTAGTTATTTAAATATAGGAAAAAATGTAAATTTTATGATCAAATTTTTTTGTTTGAACAAAATTCCGTCTTTAATACCTTAGATTGTTTTCTTTAATCTTTTAGAAAGCTTTCTGAAGTAAGGGATGTTTTTTCTATGGACAATTGCACAATCTTCTACATTTAAAAAAACATATTAGCATATATCTGCTAAAAAGGTAGTTTCTCTTTTTTAGATATTCTTTTGCGCATTAGTTTTTTTAGATTATACGTATTAGACAATGATTTTAATCTCGTTAATTAGAGCAACATTTTGCACAGATGTAAATTGCAATTTTTATGTTGCAGTCGAAATATAGATTTTACAGGAAAAGGTAATGAAACAATTTAGGAGATTAGCGGATTTTAAGGAGGACTCTACTCTTCATTTCTAGAAAAAATAATTTTCAAATGTTTAAATTCAAATTTAATTTCACTTAAAGTATTAAAGTGTTACTGTTATGCTTTTAAGGTGAAGTTGGTTTTAAAATCGGTTTATTTAAAACTTTTCAATCAGACAGGTGAAAAAATACGCTTTGTGTGTGACCAAACCTATGTTTGTAAAATAATGTAAAGTACAGGACTGGGGTTTTCGAATAAATCACCCAAGCCCGTCTTTTTGTTGGCTATAATAACTATCTTCTGTAAGAATTAAGTGGAGGGGGGGGGGGGGGGGGGGGGGGGGGGGGGGGTGATGAACCGTAGAGTTTATTTTAGAGATTATTGTTGCCCTGTTTACTAAACTTTCCACAGGTGAAAGAATTCTGTGTTTGTTGAATGCTAAGGAAAGTACGTGATACTGCATATGCCTGAATACTATTTATTGTACGCACAGAGGCTTGCATAATAGTAGATTTTCTACACACATACATTTAGTTCATATATTGTAATGTAGTAATGTAATTAGGTAATATATTACATCGATGAATTCAAACGCACGTAAGAAATTTTGAGTTTACGCCCCCCCCCCCCTGTTATTGCCTACGTCTTGCAGCGAGCTTTGTAGCATTATAAGTTGGGGCTTCATCAGTATCTTTCATCACTTTCCACCATTTAAAGATATATTTTTACTTAGATTTTGGACTCAGTTCTAAAGATCCGGATCCTTTGGATCCGCAACATTTTGGCTTACAGGATCCGCAAAAATATGCGGATCCAATGGTAAAATATCGACAAAAAACTGGAAAAAATCTTTTTCTTCTTAAAACCCAAATCTGAACTGTTTAAAAAACAGAGATTATCAAAACTTTCCTTAACTTTATGGTTCATCCATGTTTAGCATAAAAATGAGTAAAAAGGAAGGAAAATGATTTTAAGATATTTCTTCTGTTAAAAAATCATCAAATCTTGAAGAAATGTTCATGACCTGGATCAGGTTCCAGATCCATATTTTTCCATATCCGGATCCCCGGATCCGTATCAAAATCATGTGGATCCTAAGCACTGAATTTTTGGTTCACACCCTTGTAAATATGTGAATATTTGACGTCAATACTGTGGTTTCCAAATGCGTTGGAAACCATACGAACAGTATACGGTTATATAAGAACGAGACCAAATACGTAACTCTTCCCGGGGGTAGGGGGTATGGCGGGGGGAGCAACCATCTTCATAACGATAATTCATCTCTTAAATCAAAAAATAATGTTTGTTTTTTTATAGATCAATAATAATAAAGCTTTTTAAACATAAGGTACTGCAGTGTTGTTCACAATGCAACGTACCGCGACTGTATGTTTACAACATAAATTTCTGCAAAGTTTGTTTGCAAAATAACGTAGTGCAAATTGCAATGTTTGGTTACAATATAACTTAATGCAATATTTTTTTACAATTAAACTTATTGCAACGTTTGTTCACAATATAACGTTATGCAATGTTTGTTTGCAAAATAACGTACTGCAACTGTTTGCTTACTGAAATATTTTTGTTTAATATTAAACTTACTGCAACTTTGTTTTCAATACAACGTACTGCAATGTTTGTTTATAATATAACGTACTGCAACTGTTTGCTTACAATATAACTTGATGCAATATTTTTTTACAATTAAACTTACTACAACGTTTGTTTACAATACGACTTACTGCAATTTTTGTTTACAATATAACGTACTGTAACTGTTTGTTGACAATATAACTTACTGCAATGTTTGTTTACAATATAACTTACTGCAATGTTTGTTCACGATATAACATACCGTTACGTTTACAATATAGTGTACTGCAATGTTTGTTTACAATATAAAGTTATGCAAATTTTTGTTAATAATTTAACTTACTACAATTTTTGTTTACAATATAACGTACTGCAGTGGTTGTTTACAATATAACGTACTGCAGTATTTGTTTACAATATAACGTACTACTATTTGTGTTTACAGATACTGATGAAGAATGACGAATACCCAGATAGAAGTGGAGAGTCCAGATGTTTACTCCCAAGGTAATGTTTTAAATGTTGAAACAAAATTTAAAAAAATGATGATAATATATCTAAATAATATATCTAAATAATATATCTAAATTTTTAACGGTTGTGTGGCCTTGATTTTTCAATTGTTAAGTTGTTAAGTTAACATTTTACACTTTAAAAAAATACGAAAAGAAGTAGAAATTTGAAGTTAAAACTGTAGTTACAAAAAGGAATTAAGTCTTTGCCACAAACTTAGATTTTTCATCTTAGATCATTGCAGCCCAATGGCGTAGATAACCTCTCAGATATTTAAACTATGATTTCTGCTAGATCAAATAGCCTAGGTTTAAAATATCAAATGTTTGCACAATCAGGTTGCAAAGATATAGGGATTAGACAATTTTAGTTTGTGACAGAAACTCCATTGTAAAATTACAATATGTATGATTTTTTAGGAGACTTGTGCATAGATGAGACGAGAGGTTCGGTAAGCGTGCACGACCCTACCGTGCGTAAAGCCAGCCATGTGACTGGAAAGCGCTCGCGCCTCGATATGCTGCTCGCAGCTTCAGGGGTAGAGCTCATCAAGCAAACCGAGGTGTCCGACCATCTAACTTTTTGTTCAACTCAGGTAGAGTCGCCTTTATTCATTAAGAGAAGTAATAGTTTCTGGGGATTTGCCATTTTCTGTTGTGCGCACATGCCCCGTAAAATTCCATATCAGAGAGAGGGGGATTGAATTTTGTAGATCCAGGAAAATAATTAAATTAGTATCTATTTAGGGTTAGGTTAGGTTGAGACACTTTCTGGGCCGAGCGCTGCGGCCACGAACTAGGTTAAGTTATGACACATTCTGCGGCTAGGACAGGCTAAGGTACCGAGCGCTGCGTCCACATGTCTTACATTTCAGACCCCACCGCTGCCAGTCTCTACGCAGGCATCTCACAGATTCTATTTTTCTGGATCTACAAAATTCAATTCCCCTCGCTCTGTTTTGGAATTTTACGGGGCATGTGCGCACAACAGAAAATGGCAAATGCCTAGTTTCTGTATCTACCCATAGTGTACAGGTTTACCCACAAAGGATGAGACTTTAGAGACTTTAGAGACGACTTTATTTATGTTTTAGATTTGATTTGAAATTAGTGGTTTAGTTAATTGTGGAAAAGAAAGACTGCATCTATATATAAATTTGGCTTGTCTGTCTGTCTGTCTGTCTGTCTGTTTGTATCCAATAAACGTCAAAACGGCTGAACCGATCGGGCCCAAATTTTTTGTGGGACATCTAGGGACCCCAGGGAAGGTTTATGAATGATTGAAATTTTAAATATTTGTCTCCATCAAAATTCGATCTTCATTAAATTTTTGAAAATTTTGAAAATCCACGAAATTTTTTGTGAAAATCCGCGAATTATTTTTGTTTTGTTTTACGATGTACACAAAGAGAACATGTTCACAATTAATTTAGAAGATGGGCGCGAAGCGCCCTCTAAGGCTAGTCTATATATAAATTTGGCTTGTCTGGGTGTTTGTTTGTCTGTTTGTCTGTTTGTTTGTATCCAATAAACGTCAAAACGGCTGAACCGATCGGGCCCAAATTTTTTGTGAGACATCACGTGACCACAGGGAAGGTTTACGAATGATACAAATTTTAAAGAATGTGTTTTAAAGGTTTTTAATTTTGTAAAAAAAAATTTTAATTCTTGAAAATCCGCGAATTTTTTTTTAAAAATCTGCGAAATTTTTTTCTTTGTTTTGAAATGAAAACAAAAAGAACATGTTCACAATTCAAATAGAAGATGGGCGCGAAGCGCCCTAAAAGCCTAGAAAGAAGGGCGCGAATACTGCATTAAATAAATTGAAAATGATTTTTTTAAAATGCATTTATTGAAATAGTTTGAAACGGTTAATTTTAAAATGTAGAGCTCACAAGTTCAAACTTCTCGTAGATCCTATTTTCAAACTATTTTAAACAGATAGAGTGGCATGTCCCATTCTACATTTACAGATTGGCATGTCCGATTCTACATTTACAGACTGGCATGTCCGATTCGACATTTACAGACTGGCATGTCTTATTCTACATTTATAGATTGGCATGTCTTATTCTACATTTACAGATTGGCATGTCTTATTCTACATTTACAGATTGGCATGTCTTATTCTACATTTACAGATTGGCATGAATTATTCTACATTTACAGACTGGCACGTCCGATTCTACATTTACAGATTGGCATGACTTATTCTACATTTACAGACTGGCATGTCCGATTCGACATTTACAGACTGGCATGTCTGGTTCTACATTTACAGACTGGCATGTCCAATTCTACATTTACAGACTGGCATGTCCAATTCTACATTTACAGACTGGCATGTCTGATTCTACATTTACAGATTGACATGTCTTATCCTACATTTACAGACTGGCATGTCCGATTCTACATTTACAGACTGGCATGTCCAATTCTACATTTACAGACTAGCATGTCCGATTCGACATTTACAGACTGGCATGTCCAATTCGACATTTACAGACTGGCATGTCCGATTTACTGATTGGCATGTCCGATTTACTGATTGGCATGTCTTTCCGATTCACTAAGATACCCTTAAGATAAGAAATCTAACATCGTCGAAAATAGATTTTTTTTCTATGGCTTACAGATATCTGGTTTAAAACAATAGCGGAAATTACCTGAAATAAACACTTACAAACGACAATAAATTCCAAAATATTGATATCAGCTTACGGTCAAATGGGCGCGTTGTGAGTTCGACATTTTCCTCTTTTAAAACGGAAATTAAATTGCAATGCCAGTCCCCTTTTAACGATATAATTGGCGAGTGCGAAGGGATGTCCTCTTATTCCGCCATATTGTACACAATACTTTGTTAAATATTTTCAATTTTATTATTTCAGACTGCTCCTCTGGATCTAAGCCTACCCCGGTTTGCGGCCGCAACTAGCCAATCAGAGATTAGGCAGCCTCGGCTCAAGGTTCGATGTGATCTTGTATCTCTGGAACCTAGATCTAGGTCCCCATCTAGATCTCCCTACTTAGTCTTAGGTCGGGAGGAGGATTATGTTAGGTTTAGTTCATCAAGTGAAAACTACGCAACATTTAACGAAAACTACGCAAAATCTAGTGAAATCTGCGGAAAATCAAGTAAAAACTACGCAGAATTTAGTGAAAACTACGCACAAATAGAAGAAAAATGCGCCAAACCCAATCGTAGAACCCAGAGTACGAAAACTAAACGGGATAAAGTGCCGGAAAGCAGGAATTCTGAATCTCCGGCAGTAAACACAGGGATTTGGAACCTAACTGTACAGGATATAGATTCAATGCTTGGTCCGTACATAACCCATGAAGATAAGAAATACAATTGTACAGTATGTAGCATCAAATTCAACACTAAACCCAAAGCTATCAGGTAACAGTCAATAGTTAAATTAATCCTTTTCACTCAAGAAAATAGGAATAGGAAGACGACTTTAAAACTTAAGTTATCTTTTTAAATAGTCCAATAAACAATAGACACTGCAATTTTGCGGTAAAAACAGATTTATTTATCTTTATAAGTGATTTAATTAGTCACTATGAAACTATCTGCTTTGTAACAACATCAAATTCACTGAGGTATTGCTCTAATGTCGTCTTCCTATTCCACACTTTTCTGGTTATCACTGCATCATTGGTTTAGAATAATTTTCTTCATAACAGAGATGATTATGATATATATATTTTTTCCCCTACTGATAGAGAAACCAAATTCTAGGATAAAATGTTTTTGTTTTTAAATCTTTTCTTCTTAATACTAGTTAACTTTGACGTGTTCAAAACATCTGTGATCTAGAAACAGTATTTTTGCAAAAAATTCAGAGTGACGTATTTTTCAAATGTAATTTCCTAAAAATAGCCCAATTTTTTCATTTTTTATTTTTTACAAAATGTTATTAAACGCTGTTACTGAAAACAATGAAAATGTTTTGCATGAAACTTATTGAATTGTAAAATCTGCTGGAAAAGTTTGTTCCAAAAAAGAAATTATTTACATGAGTTATCCATAAGAATGGGACTATCTAGAATAACGGTCTGAAACTTAAAGGATGAACTAGGTTGCTCAGTAGTCTTTAAATGGAATATTTTAAGATTATTTTATAAGAAATAAAATAGTTTACCTGCAGAGAATGTCATGAATTTCGTGGTCGTCTTTGAAGTATCATCTTTTCGTGAGAACCCCTGGACGTAATGAAATAAATACAGAAAGTTAGAAAAGAGAGCTTTTGATCATATAAATCAAGTTATAGCATAAAACTCACATTTTTTCAAATTGTTTATGTTCTTTAGGACACTTGGAAAAGTTAATTAAGGGGAGAAGGGGAGGAGGGGGGGAGGGGCGGAAATTACACAATTTTAAACATCTGCAATTATCAATTTGCACAGTTATTTCATATTTTATTACAAAGAATGTACTTTAACAAAAATTGTTAAATTTAAAAGATTTTGAATTATGGAACTTTCTTTATTTCTGAAACCTTAAACACCATTTTTGGTAATAGAAAAGTGCTTCTGTACAATAAATTCTCGAAATTTTTTGCATGTCACTGTTTTTGAATACAGTTATGGATTTAGACTTCAGGGGCGTAAACAAGGATTCTGTAGGGGGGAGTAAATTTTTTTATTTTATTTTTTTATTTTACAACCCACGTCGGGCCCTTCAGCAAGTTCTTCATAAATGAGCGCTTACATGAATCCAACTCAAAAACGAAATTTCTGATAATATCATTATGTATATCAAATTATTGGTTTTCATTTCCTACCATTCAACTTTCACCTTGTCTTATATCCTTCATTATAGTCATTCATTTTACATTAACAACAAAGATCTGTAAAAAAACTAAATTTATTTTAGTAACATAAAAAATAGTTTTACTCTAAGAGGAAAAAGATATTACTTTTTTAAATCTTTAGAAAAGCTACTCTGCAAAACTTTGAAAAAAATATTGGTCTTTATTTATATTCTAATTTCTAATTTCTAAAATTTTCTTGTCGTCAATGTAGTATGTTAAGATCTTAAATAAATCTAATATGGACATGACATTATTTAGAAGTTAAAAATGTATTCTTCATTGTCCATATCCTTTTTTTTCTATTAAAAAAAAAACATCTAATTGTAATGACATTGCCTATTACTTTAGAATATCCTCTGTATGATTCTTTCTTAAAGGGAGTGTTCGCGAAAAATGAAAGGGGGTATAGGCTTAATGCGATAAAAAAGCGCTTTTGATCGCTACTAATCTTACTTCTATCTGTTGCGTCTATAAGGAGAAAATTGTTAAAGACGTCTCTTACCGAAGAACGTAGCGACCGTACAAATTGAGAAAATTGCAACATACGACTAAGACCGTAAAAAAATCAATTTAATTTTAAACAAATCATTCAGATATTACAACCTATAGTCATCGATTATCTTTCGCCACATTTATATATAGTTGATTTTTCATAATATTTTTTAATTGTTATGATCTGAGAGTTACTTATAAAAACATTTATTCCTGTTTCGAGGATTTTTGATAAGGAAGACGACATTTTCATATTTTCCTGGAATGTTCGAAAACAAGTTGTAAGCTAAATATTATTTTTAAAAACAAAATCAAAACTAGTATGAAATATCAAATTTATACAAATGTGGCGAAAGATAATCAATGACTATAGGTTGTAGTATCTGAATGATTTGTTTGAAATTAAATTGATTTCTTTACGGTCTAAGTCGTATGTTGCAATTTTCTCAATTTGTATGGACGCCATGTTATTCGGTATGAGACGTCTTTATCAATTTTCTCCTTATAGACGCAACAGATAGAAGTAAGATTAGTAGCGATCAAAAGCGCTTTTTTATTGCATTAAGCCTACACCCCCTTTCATTTTTTGCGAACACTCCCTTTAAGGGTACTGCTGTGAATCGGGAATTGACTTATTTGCATGAAACTTGAATTCACTTGAAATCTTGCTTTTACAAATCAAGGCATTGTTTTATGCAAGGAATATTTAATACTCATATAGATATTCTTCTAATAAAGGATTTAAAGGTGTTAAAAGCAGACTAATCAACAGAGGGAATTACTTTTTTGGAGTGGGCAACTGTAACTTGTAGGGGCAGTAAGTGCAGTGGAGTAATCCCTGCTATTCAGGGCCTGTGTAGTTTAGGGGTAATTACCTTCAAGATTCTAGAGTGGGGGGGAGGGTAATCAACACCAAGATTCATGGATAATCCCCAGGATTCTAGGGGGGGGGGGGTAAAGAATCCCATTAACCCCCCTTATTTACGCCACTGTAAGACTTCTTTATTTAATCTTTCAAACTAGTCCATGAGTTTATCACTCTGACAAAAAAAGATTTTTTCCTAATGTTATTTCTTGTTGTTTAAGGACGGTTTTCAAATGACCCTCCGTTAATAAGTGCCTGATTCCCAATGGTACCCCTATGAATATATCGTCATAAAAGTGTGAAATTCTCGTTATTACTTTCATAAATGTTTCTGCAGCATAAATCCGTAGCTCACCTTATTTTAACCATTAAATTATGCCAATTAAGAAAAAAATTACCCAATTTTTCTTTGGCGCTATTTTAATAGAATTTCTAACTATTTTCTCGTTTCCGACTTAAAGAAAGTCAGTCAGTCTTAATTTATCCTCTCAAAAACCCCTAATCAGATATACCACTCTACAAATATAATCACAGTGTACAGTCCCTTTTAGTTTCTAGAATTTTGAAAATTCAATTATTGTCAATAATATTAGAACAGACAATATGACATTTATAGATCAAACGACATATTTTATTGTAATATATTTGTTTGCTATTTTGTTTTGCTGAATATCAAATCGATATACTGAAGGTTATCCCATGAAACGGATAAAAGTATGCAAGTACAAAGTAATGAGACTTAAAGTATTTAAGTACAAAGTAATGAGACTAAAAGTATACAAGTACAAAGTAATGAGACTAAAAGTATACAAGTACAAAGTAATGAGACTAAAAGTATACAAGTACAAAGTAATGAGACTAAAAGTATACAAGTACAAAGTAATGAGACTAAAAGTATATAAGTACAGAGACTAAAAGTATATATGGAAGTTCTCCACTCTACAGTCCTTGTAACAAAATAATATACAAAAATATGATTTTAAATTAATTTTTTTTCAGCCATGTCGAGAACAAGCATATTGATTGCTTCCAATACAAATGTCCTCAATGTCGCACAACAAAAACCTCGAGACTAGCAATCGACTGCCACACTAGGAGTAGACACAACGACAAGAACAAGCTGCTGTCTCCTCTCCTGCGGCTCAAGCGACAGTTTGGATTGAAGGGAGAGAAGGGAGGAGCGGGGGGAGTGAATACTAAGAGTGAGTTAAGTAAAGGGGGATATGATCTCATGTTCGTCACATTTCTCAGGTAACTTTTCTCCATTTTGGCATTTTTCCTCGTTTTTAAAGTAAAGATTTTTTTTTGGAAAGGACTTGGTGTCTTGATTTAAATTCTTTTTAATTGGCTTGGAAAAAAAACAAATAAAAACTTTAGTTTTAAATAAATTTGAAAATATTGTAGAGATGAACTGGGTATTGGTGATGTCCTCTCTACCCTTGAGACCTGGAGGTTGATGGAAACTATCCAGGCAAGACCGAGGTCAAGCAGTACATCTCCGTCCTCTTCACCAGCCTCATCCCCAGCACCCTCACACTCAACCTCAAGGGATGGAAGTGTGTCCCCCAGGTCAGTCTCAGAAAAAAAAGACATGGTGTTAAATTTTCTCCATGCTTGTCCATTATTCTAATTCTAATTGTCCATTATTCTAATTCTATTTGTCAATTATTCTAATTCTATTTGTCCATTATTCTAATTCTATTTGTCCATTATTCTAATTATATTGTTCCATTATTCTAATTCTATTGTTCCATTATTCTTATTCTATGTGTCCATTATTCTAATTCTATTTGTCCATTATTCTTATTCTATTTGTCCATTATTCTAATTCTGTTGTTCCATTATTCTTATTCTTTTTTTCCATTATTCTAATTCTATTTTTCCATTATTCTAATTCTATTGTTCCATGATTCTAATTTTATTTTTCCATTATTCTTATTCTATGTGTCCATTATTCTTATTCTATTTGTCCATTATTCTAATTCTTTTGTTCCATTATTCTTATTCTATGTGTCCATTATTCTTATTCTATGTGTCCATTATTCTAATTCTATTGTTCCATTATTCTTATTCTATGTGTCCATTATTCTTATTCTATGTGTCCATAATTCTTATTCTATTGGTCCGTTATTCTTATTGTTTTTTTCATTGTAATAATCATCTATGATTATTACAATGAAAAAATAATTATAACAATATTATCATAAAATTAATTATGGCAATAATCATTACAATGCTTATGGTCACATTGAATTTTCGGCAATGATTGTGATAATGATCATATGACAGTAATCCTAGCAATGATTATGTTAAGGATCATGCCCCAATAATAATGACGATGACAATAAACATGATCATAATGAAAATCATGACAATACTCGTGACAGCAATCATGGTTAATGTCCTAATCATAGTGATCTTGGCAATGATCATAATAATAATCATAACATTGATCAGGAAAATAATCATAAAAATCATCTTGAAACTAATCATGATAAAGACGATGGCAATAGACATGATCACACTGAGGAGTAAGATAGTAAAAGTATCCATATTGCAGGGCTGAGAATGAGAAGGTGCTGGCTAGTTGGATGAAGAAGGACCACGGTATATTCGTCATCCATAATAAGGAGCGGTTTGCCAGCAAATGGTTTTTTATCAAGGTATTCATTACAAGACCAAATATTCTTTTATTATTAACATTAACATTGGTGTAAAATTCTAACTGAGAAAAGCAAACAAAATTAAAAAACAACATGTTCAGCTTCAAAGTTTTTGTACTAAAATTTGTTTGAAAATGTCGTCTTTTCAAGATTATTTTAAGTTTAAAGTCTGAAGAAACTGATTATTGACCCTCAAATTTATAATTTTCGAATCATCTATTTGCAACCTGATTTTCCCAGCTGTGAAATACTGCTCAACAATGTTTATCCTTAGACACGGTGTTTTGTCCGATTAGGACACATCAGTATGGCTCAATTCATCAGTTTTTGATTTTGCATTTGGCGGGGCTTGAACCGTGGATTACAAGTACGCTTCAAACATGGTACGGTATAATATATATTATATAATATATTTTAGGGTGTAAAGAATGGTAGCTGGGCCCGGTTAGAAACTGAAGTTTTAGCAAACTTTGTTGATAGAAATATTCTTAAACAGATCTCAGTCCCAACAAATACCCCTTCTAGTGAGAACCCCTGCGTATTTCAAGTTTTCTGTATCAGGCAGCTTCTGCAATAAACAGCTGCTTCTCATCTGCTCTCCAATAAAGAACAGTAGCTGTTTGACACTCGACAGCATATTTGTAGCTGAAATCTTTTGCGCCATATATTTGTTTTAATAATTTAACGGATTTTAGGATATTTCAGGAAATAATATTTGAAAATATTTTCCTTTTATTTTATTTTCCAAAAACCCTTAATTTTGTTGGCCGCTCCGACCAAATAATCCGAATATGATTTTTTTCAAGAAATAAATACCCCTGTTGTATTTAACCAATCCAATAATTCGCCCACCTCAAACCCCTCGCAATTATCCACCAAAGCTATTAAATCTCACTTGAGTAGATTATCCAAATTCTAAAAAGCAATATTAATACCAACTGTAATTTATTCCTAATATATGTATAACAATCAAACCAGTAAACATAAAACTGAGCATGTGAAACTAAACTTTTAATAACAATGTCATAGAGTAATAATTACAGAGGATACAGTTCGTAACATTTTTTATCTGTGTATCTTTTATAACAAAGATGTTTGATCAATTCAAAAAATAGAATTATTTCAGAAAAAAAAATTGGAACTTGATCTCAGTGTCCAATATTAGAACAATACTTGATTCCCCAAAGAAAATTATCCCTCTATGGGATATTGAAGAGATATTAAATTAATCCCTCTGTAATATGGGATTTACTTCAGAATAAACCTAAATATATAATTAGATACAATAATGGTATAATTGTATCTCTGTCTATTATTACTCTATGAACGACATCTTTTAAGCCTGACTCAAATTTTCATACTTTCACAATCCTTGAACAGTAAACACACAGTGTATGTATGTATTAGCCTGCAATCCAAAACTAAAGCAATCACTTTTTTGTCAGAACTTATAGAAATAAATTTGGTAAGGAAGGGGAGAGCGTAGAATCATTATTATGTATACACAATGTTTTGTATGTATTTATGTTGTTTGCATTTTAAACATGTGTTTTTAGTCTGATAAATATTACGGAGTAAATCATTTTATCCATTTTCTTCCTTAAAATGTCTAAATAACGCTAACTATCTTTTAATATTAATTGTATGTTTTGAAAATCAGCGTGAGTATAAATACTAGGTACATTTTTTTCTATTGATATTTTTAAGTAACATCACATGTAATGAGGAACTAAGATACAATTTCAGGTTTAATAAAAATGTATTTTATTTTGTATAGCAATTTGCAAAAAATAACTGGTTTTCCTACTTGCAATCAAAATCCCAGTTTCACTTTGTCAATTAATATCTATTTATGCAACTGCATCGTGTTATTACGCGGAACAATATGTTTTTTGGCCTGGATTTTTACTCTTTGGTATGTTTAAGGTTTCAATCCAAGTTTTTTAAAAACTTGAAACCAAAAAAGTAAAAATCACAACAAGAAACATATTGTCCCAAATGATAACACAATGTGGTTGAATATATAAAGGAAATGAGTTTTTGCAATAAAATCTTATTTTCTAATTTTTATATCTTCTCAACCAAATGTCGTAGACCTTAGATATTTCAAACTATGCATTCTGTTAGATCAAAAAGTCTAAGTTTGAAATATCAAAGGATTACTCTATTAGGTTGAAAAGAAATAGAGGTTTAAAAATTTGAGTTTGTGGAAAAGACTCAATTTCTTTATTCAATTCAATCTGATTGTAAAATGTGCGAATTTTTAAAGAAATCCGTGAAATATGAAAGAAGCCAGGCATAAAATGTTATTTATTTGCCTCGGAACAAATATAAAACGTTGTATACCTGAGATCATGAAATTGCGGATTAAAAATTCTCCTAAAATTGAATAAAGTTTTTGATCTTTATAATTTTTTAGTTTTTAAATTAGTTAATAGTTACTTCATTTTGGTGCAAACAAATATATTTTGAAAAAACTACAGGTTCATTTTTATTTTGGAATTATTATATAGTAGTGCCGTGCAAGATTACTCAGCGTACTCTAAAAGGATGAGGCTTGAATGATGAAAGATGGTTGATAACCTGAAACTCATTTAATAAAATAATTCAAAAGTTTAATTCGGTTTTCGGCCTTTCAGGTTCAACATTTGATACAGGCCACAGCAAAAGAAAAAAAAACTTTATTATTACAACAACAATTAAGTAAAGAGTCAGAATTAATTACTTTTCAAACTATAAAAGCAATGATATTTCAACATTGTTGATCAGCTAATGGTTTTAGAGGGTCCCATTTTGAATCGGGCATACCCCTCTTTAATTGAAGGGGCAGCCACGTTGAAGGGTACCATAGTGAATCTCTAATTGAAGGGGCAGCCAAGTTAAAGGGTACCATAGTGAATCTCTGGTACCATAGTGAATCTCTAACTAACTGAAGGGGCAGTCACGTTAAAGGGTACCATAGTAAATCTCTAATTGAAGGTGCAGCCACGTTGAAGGGTACCATAGTGAATCTCTAGTTGAAGGGGCAGCCAAGTTAAAGGGTACCATAGTGAATCTCTGGTACCATAGTAAATCTCTAATTGAAGGGGCAGCCACTTTGAAGTTCAAACTCGCCTCGAATTCTACAACTAAATGTAAAGTCGTCTTCTTTATTTAGAAGATCTAAACTTTAACAATAAAGTCATCTTTGTCTTTCCTTTAACTTAGATATAAGTGTCGCATAGAAATTTGTAGTCTGCAATTATTGACACCTTTCTAGAAATTTGTAGTTTGCAATTATTGACACCTTTCTAGAAACTTTTAGTCTGCAATTATTGACACCTTTCTAGAAATTTCTAGTTTGCAATTATTGACACCTTTCTATAAATTTATGTTCTGCAATCATTGACACCTTTCTAGAAATTTGTAGTCTGCAATTATTGACACCTTTCAAGAAATTTGTAGTTGCAATTATTGACACCTTTCTATAAATTTGTGTTCTGCAATCATTGACACCTTTCTAGAAATTTGTATTCTGAAATTATTGACACCTTTCTAGAAATTTGTAGTCTGCAATTGTTGACACCTTTCTAGAAATTTCTAGTTTGCAATTATTGACACCTTTCTATAAATTTATGTTCTGCAATCATTGACACCTTTCTAGAAATTTGTAGTCTGAAATTATTGACACCTTTCTAGAAATTTGTAGTTTGCAATTATTGACACCTTTCTAGAAATTTGTAGTTTGCAATTATTGACACCTTTCTAGAAATTTGTAGTCTGCAATTATTGACACCTTTCTATAAATTTGGTTTCTTTTCTGTCTATATTGTATCGAAATTCAATAAAAGTCAAAAACGCTTAACTGATCCGCCCAATTTTCTTGTGGCAATTCTAACACTAAGACAAGGAAGGTCATGTCTATTAAGTTAAAAGTTTTACCTGGAAAAAATGTTTTTAATATTAGGAATGTTTTTAAATGGTTACAAAAAACTACGCAAAATATTGTGACACAATTGCGAAGAAAAAATTGCCCCTTACAGCAAAGAAAACGCGGTGCCCTAAAAGCCTTCAAAATGTTCAAGGATTATTTCTAAAAATGGTTTTGTTGCAAAGAATATTAATAATTAAAGAAAAAGATATTTCCACTGCTAGTTCTCCCTGTAGCTATTTTCAATCATTAAAAATGATTTAAAGGTTAAAGTCTTCTAACAGAGCTATCTTCATAAGATAAGACTTTAATTAATGTAATGTAATAAGGATAGTTTGATAGAAGTATGATACAGAGAGTCTCAAAAACATGGAATTAAATCTATATCGTCTTTGTTCTATGTCAGATTATTTCGTAAACATAATTTTGTAGTATCACAAAACACCGAAAACTTCTGATATCTGGATTTCCAAATTTTGTCTACCATTTTTTTAACTTCAAAATTGATGGAGATATTATCAATATCAACAAAACTGTTCAAATGTTTAATATCTCCCTCAATTTTAATGATACAAAGAATGTAAACCACATGTTTGAAAGCTTATTTATAGATTTCAATTTCTTTTAGATGCACTTTTTATCAATTATCATTTCTCAAAAGTCAAAGATGATATTTAAGTCGTCAGTTAGGAGAAAATTGTTAAAAACGACTTATGCTGAAGAACGTAGCGTCCATACAAATTCAGAAAGTTGCAATATACGACTTGTATCATAAAAAAATCAATTTATTTTAAAACAAATCATTCGTATATTACAACCTATAGCCATTGATTATTTTTCGACGCATTCATATATATATAGTTAATATTTCATTCATTTGTTATTTGTTTTATACACAAATACAATGTACTTAAAACGCCTTTTTTCCACTTGTTGTCTCTGCCGCGTGTAATCATTCAAAGAATTAAGAGCAGAGACATCTGGCGGCCAACTATTTCGGCGTTTTGATGATTTGTTTGAATTTAAATTGATGTGTTTACGATCCGAGTTGAATATTGCAACTTTCTAAATTTGTATGGACTACGTTCTTCAGTATAAGTCGTTTTTAACAATTTTCTCCTCATAGACGCAACAGATAGAAGAAAGATTAGTTGCGATCAAAAGCGATTGTTTTTCGCCGTAAACCTATACCCCCTTTCATTTTTTGCGAACACTCCCTTTAATTATTAAAATTTAAAGTAATTGCTTTATGTCTGCGGCCTTCTAAATTTTCTAATAAGGCAAAAAAAATTTTGAAACGCCAGGACAATATATAGATAAATTTTCATAATTTCAAGAAATATACTACTCCTGTAAAAAGAACTCGCCTCAAACTCTAATTTTCTAATTTTCTTTCTGATTGATAATGTTCTGATTGATAATGTTCTGATTGATAATGTTCTGATTGATAATGTTCTGATTGATAGTATGATTGCTAATGTTTTTAATTCCGATTTCTAATATATCAAGTCTACAAAGTCAACCTTTAAAATATCACAGGTTTACACCTTCGAGTTACAAAGATAAAGAGATTATAAAGTAATGGATTGAGACGAGTAATCAGTTATCTAGGTTAAAACAATGAATGACTCACTTTACAATGTTTTAACTAAAAATATATAGATTTTTACATTAAAAAAAATTAAGTTTTTTCTTTGGAACCATTAAACAAATTTGTTTTTATGCACATTATCTTTCAACATAATTAATTATCTTCTACCTACGTCAATATATTCTGTAGAATACGGATTACGCCGAAAAAAACATATTTTAACGAATATATTATATTCCACAGGTTAAAATGTTTCCTCTCAAAATCGATATAGAAACTTTAAGCCCAAGGCGAAGCGACACTTCAAAGCCAACCCTGTCTTAAAAATGTCTGTTTATCAGCAGGAGCTGAATCTATGTGATCTGAGCTGGGAACTTTAGAATGGATAACCTTTAAGCCCGACTGCTTAATTCGAATATCCACTCTATAAACTTTTAATTTAGTCCTTAATCAACTCTTTTTCTCTCTCTTTGGATTTCTCCAATGAAAGTGCAGGAATATAGTTCGTAAATTGTATTGACTAATAAAAGCTTTGAAAATAAATTCTATCCAATGAGAGACCTCCACAATTTCTAACAAATAAAGAATTTATTTTCGGCCATTTTGTAAATTAATCGGTGAAGAAAAGTATGTAATAATACGTTTGAGATTCTTTTAAAACTAATTTTATCTAATGTCTTGATAAATAAAAGGGTAAGAAATTAACTGAAGACCCTTCCAGTTAATAAAACGAACAAATCTGAAGTTCCTAGAATCAAATTCGTTGATATAAAAATAATTAATCTCGAGACTAATTTCGAAATTATATTAGTCTGGAGATTAGCAAAAAGAGAGGATTAAGCATTGATCCTGATATCCACCATTCTAAAGTTCCCAGCTCTCGTACAACTTTAAATAGTTTTAAGTCTTTCATATGTTTATGTAACTCCCCGATTTTCTGGGGGGTTTTTTAAGGGACTGTATGCTTGATTTTAAAAACCTTCCAGGCAAAAGGACAATGTCTGATTCACAATTGTACTTTTCAAGCCATTTAGATCAATAATGTGAAATTTATCGTCGTTAAAATTCTGATAAATCACATATGTTATCCCCTGCAGTAGAAATGCTTAAGTACCTCTTGTCAGTTTGGGCCTGCCAGGAACACTAAATATTTAAGAGGGGACATAACAAATTCCGTACAGTCGTCTGTGATGTCTCATCCTTTATGGGTCGCCCTGTACATTGGAAACAATTACGTTCAAGAAATCTAACACACTTATATCTAAAAATTGCTTAGCTTTATCTATATATACATATAAAGTTGTGATCTCTGTTTGTTTGTCCGATCATACCTCAGGAACCCCTGCACCGATTTGTCTCGAATTTCGATTGGGAAACTTGGGAGACCCACGGGAATGTTTTAGTTTGATTTTGAAATTCTAAGTTAAGTGAGTCGACATTAATAGCGAAAATTACTTTTCCAGGTATAATCGTTCAATTACGGGTAAACGACAGGAGTAACTTTTAGTAACTTGGGCTGCTCTGGGTTGCCAAGCCAGCATATACATAAAGTAACAAGCTCTGCTTGGTTTCTTTGGTTGGTGTTTGGTTGGTTGGTTTGTATATGTCCAATCACACCCTATAAACTCCTTGACAGATTGGTTTCCAATTTTAATTGTGGAACTCGGTAAGTCGGTAGAGTCCCAGAAATGGTCTCAGCTTGGTTTAAAGAGTCTAAATTGAATAAGATAACTTTTAGAAAGCTTTGTTTCAAAGTAAAGCTAGGCCGGTTCCCAACACAGAAAGGTTAGAGTAGAATGTTGCTAGACAGTTTGTACAGAGCCCGAAATTTAAAAGAGTATTGTTGAACGAAACTCGATCCCGAGTTTCAATTTTGGGGTCTTAACATTTGTGTAGATTTTGATTTAAGAGATTCGAAAAAAACGAGAATATGAAGAAACCAAATGAAATAATGTATCATAACAAAAATATTGATATCCATAAAACTGTCTAACCCCATTCCTGAAACCCGGGTTCCAAAACTAGTTTTCATAACTTTGCCAAGCTACAGAGCGTCCCATATCATATTAGATTATCTCCAATCTTTAACGCCAAAATGCGGAAATAATACTCGAAAAATCTATCATTTTCTGCAAAAAAATATTCTGTAGCCTTTTCAAATTTTTCAAAATGATTCATTCGTAAATTTTCTGATTTGTTCCTCAAATCGTAATTTAGACCTATTGGCGCGGTCTACTTTGATGTGGGTCACCCTGTATAATCTTTATGCTATGGTTGGGTTATTGTTCCTTAGGCCGGTCCCGGGAGTAACGGTCTAGGGAATGTTTATGATCGTTCAAAATTTATTAATTTTGCTTCTAAAAAATGTAATTATTTTTAGATTATGAATACTCACCTCTCCGGGCTTACGAGGCTCCGAAAGCAGGATTTAGGTTTAAAACAGAAACGCTGAATTGATTACTAAATAAGGGGCTTACAGCATGCATGCAACGTTTTGATTAATAGATAAAATGTTTCATGTTCTGTCAAAAAAGCAGGTGTATGTTGTAGAGTAAATAGTCATACTTTTACCGATTTATTATTAATATATAATTCTTCTCAAGCATTCAATACTCAGCAGTCATTATTAGTGTAACAGTAACACTGACATGTCCATAAAGAAAGCAAATACCATAAAGCAGTCATACAATAACCATCATTTGATGTGTAAGCAAAAGCATACAACAGACTAAAAGCCGTTTTTATTGTAAAAAAAAAGAAATGCTTTTATCTTCAAAATTCTATTTTTTTCAAAATTCGAAATTCAAAACGTTTTACGTTAATTTTACTATAATGACTTCTATATTTCTATTTTGTCTTTGGTGTTAAACAACTTAACAAATTATGGAAGAAGACATTCTAAACTATTTATTCACCAACTGTCATGTTTCGTGGGACAACCTGTACCTGCACTATTTACACCAACGTTTCTCAGCTAACAGTTCAACGTTATCGTAATAAATTCCTAATATCATTTGAAACTAAACTACTTGTTTTACGATTCTTTTAACAACTTGAAAATTTACTATCCGTTCATCTTTGTAACCTGATAGTGAAGACCTTTGATTTTTTAACTTAAATTTTGTGATCTAAAACCGAATTTCTTGTTAGAAATTTTCAAGGTCTACGACATTGGGTAGCAAAGATATAAGGATTATAGAACCAGAGTTTGTGGCAAAGGCTCAATTCCTTTACCTTCAGTTAACTATGAATGGAGAACTGGTTCAACACGATTCCGCAAGCAGCACTGCAACAATTTCTACAACCGCTGAGGTTCATTCTGATAAACTAAATAAATTGGAGTCCACTGGAAACACAACTAAAGAAGCTCGGAGTATGGAATCAGATGGTTCAGAAGTTCGAAACTCTGATTTAGAAGTTGGGATTCCTGGTGTTGATGTTGGAAATGCTGATTCAGAAGTTGGGAATTGTGGTTCAGAAGTTGAAAATACTGGTCCAGAAGTTGGGAATTCTGATCCAGAAGTTGGGAATTCTGGTGGGAATGGTTTTACGGATCACAGTGCTATTATCTTTGAATCTCGAACAAAAGGAATTATGAAAGAATCAGGTTTTAATCTACATTTTTTCCTCTTTATTAGAGATTTTTAAACATTTATTTTTATGATCAAGTTCCAGAATAAAAAATCTAGAAGGATTCAAAGGTTGAATTTGGGGCAATGCTGAACAAATATTTCACTTTAAAAACGTCTTAAATGAATCCTGAAAATTTTTTCTACAATACTGCACTTTCAGCTCCTGATAAAATCATTTATTTTTGAAATTGAACTGACACCTAAGATGTCAGTAAATACAACTTTCAACGAACAAAAATTTAAAAAAAACATTAATTTTCAACTTAGTTAAACTGAAAATTTCATTATTTTTAGATTATTTTGACGAACAGATCAAAAAATTATAAAAGGGCCCAAATTTACATTTAGGACCTAAATCATTGTTTTTGCTATATCTGATTTGTTTCTTGTTTCTAGATAGAGCAGAACGGAAGGTTTATAGAAAACTTCTTGAATATTTTACTTCAAGAGAGAGTTCATTTCAGGCCGAAATGAGGCCTAGTAAACGTGGAAAAACTGCAAAAGGTAATTAAACCAAAGCATGTATTCCAATTTAAAAACAAGTGCTTTATAATTTTCAAATGGACAATTTAATACCTTTTCTTGAGCAAATGATATTGCCTAAAAAGAAAAAAGAAAATCTAAAATTAACTATTTAAATAAGATTCTGTAGAACCAGTGAAAAGCAGGATACCTGGAGAAGATGCCTGGACTACGGTAAAACATCTAATTATTTGAAATTTCAGCGTAATTTCAAGTAACCCTCCATGCAAGGTGGCAATACCGATTTACATCGGAACCCTTAAAACCTTTTTCTGATCAAGCATGACTAGACATCAATGTACTCCTTGCTAGTGTACACTCGCACAATGTACTCCTTGCTAGTGTACACTCGCGCGGCATCTCGGCCCTTACTTTCCTGTTGTCAAGAAGATATTGAATAGAACCAGGGAATAGGAATAAAGGGAAAGGAAAAACTAGTTCTTCAGCAGTCCAAAAACGTCACAGCAAAGTGTAAGGAAACTATCGCCCCCTCCTTCTATTCAATACCTCCTTGCCTGTTATAAACAAAAAGAAAATAGAATATAGATTAGAGTGAAATTCACTAGAAACAAGTATAAAACGGCCATTTTGTTGTACTGTTTCCATACTGCAGGTGTACTTCACATATTTGCGCTATATAACCTTTTGGGCCCTGGAACATCATTTTAAAAAAATCTAAAATTAATAATAAAAGAAAACCAAATTATGAAATAGGCTGGTTTCATAATTGACCAATGATCATTTCACATAGACTCTATGCCTTTCACTTTACACACGATGATTTTCCGTTTCAACTATAAATCAAATGATGTATGTTTTTATTCACCTAATTCATTTTATAAAGTTTATTTAACAGCTTTAAAAAATTCGAAATTGAAATGAATAGTCTAGGGAACATACTGTGTTAATGTACTCTACTGCATATAATTTGTGAACATTTACATGATTTGTACACTTAGAACTCCCTTTTAGGCTGAAAGGGACTTACAAAATTCATACCGAAGGATTGTCTAAATTCCACTCTAATATATATTCTATTCTGTTTGGTTATAAATAAAAATATCTACGAATCCTTGATCAAATATAGATTTAAAGGGTATTGTTGTAAATCGTACATGCCATTCTACAGATGGAAGGTCATTTAACCCTATTTACCCTGACGTCTATGTTTCATATCTGGTTCCCTCATGGAAGGGGTCAAATTGACCCCCCCCCCCCTCTATTTTGTTATCGTGATACAAGTCTATAACATTTGATATGTTTTTGGAAAGCTCTTGAGTTCTACTTCATTAATCTGCAACAAAAAAATGGCAATTTTGCAAAAATTCAAATATTTCTTGCGAAATCTAGTTATTAAGCAAAAAAATTGCAACATTATATACATTTTTGAAAAGCCCTTGGCCCAGCAAATTCAAATGTTAAAAATTTCTAAAACCTAAATGTTTATTCAAGAAAAACTGAAAATGTGCAAATTCCCTTCAAAGGCGTCTGTGCAAAAATCTGTGGAAAATGTTTTTGCTAAAATTATGCAATCTGGTTGCTTTTGTTATAGCTGCTTTCCAAAGAGCTATAAATGTTGAAATCCCATGATTGGAAGTAGGTCTAACTATAGATTTAGTCTGGTATTGGTAAATAAGGCATTTATGCCTGAGGACTTAGGCAGTAGATATAAAAGCCCAGCTTTTTGCCTTAGGTGATGGGCATGTGTTAGTTATACAAGTCAGAAAATGTCATTTTTTGAGTTATCGCAAAAAAACGATAGGAAGGGGGGGTCAAATTGATTAAAGATAGGGTTAATCCCCCCCCCCAGGGTAAATAGGGTTAAAATTACGCTAACAATATTTCCCTTCTTGTTCCAGATAAAGAAGGTAGAAATAGATCACAAGCATATCAGGGCTTTAAAGGAAACTTTAAACGTAAAAAAAGATTCTATGCCAGATATGTATCAGGTAATTCAAATCAATTTGACCAAAATTGTTCGCATTTTATATCATTTAACTGTAAATTTTGCCGGTAAAATTGAAGCCTATTTTTTAGGTTAAAATAGTGAATCCCAACATTTACATAGGATTAGATTTAACCAAGGTAAATATTCAAATATATATATGTGGAAGATATCGTCATTTTTCTAGCTTGAAACTTATTCAATTCCGACGATTTTCTTTCTCCTTTTTTGTATCAGAAATGCACAAGTAACTTTTAAGAGAAAAAAACAATTCAAAATAGTTAAAAAAAAGATGCCATATAAAAAATGAAGTATATATATAAATGTATAATTTCTTATCATTAAATTTCTGTTTTTTTTTCTAGAATAAGCCTGTTGTTACAGACAAAAACCCCCACTTAGAAGGTATAAGTCTTTGATCTCTTTTAAGATGATTTTTATGATTTTGACAAAGGACTAAATGTACGGGGTGAGTCAAAAACCAGGAATTACCAAAGTTTTTGGAAAAAAAAATTTTCGCAAAAAATAGATGGAAAAATTTATTTTTTAATCACAAATGAAAGAGATATGCTCTAAAAACCGCAAACAATTTTGAGGCAAAACTTGAATGCATTGTAAGTTTGAAAAATATTAGAATAAAACACTTTCCCATGAATGTTTCCAGACATTTAATGTTTTCCAAAAAAAACAAGTTTTGCGGATTTAAAACATTTTTTTGTCACATTTCAATGTTTTTATAAAATCGGAAACAAAAAAAAATGTTGAAATTCTTTTACTCGTACATACATTACATTAAACAGTCATGAAAAAAAAGAGATATTGCAACAAAAAATCAGTTCAAAAAGTGCTTAGTTTAAAGAATTTAAAATAATTTGTTACCCACAAATAATGAAACTTTAATTTTTGTGAAGACCTAAAACTCTTTGAATATAGCAGTACTAAGTTTCAATTCTGGTTTCGGCCTTAAAATTCAGCCACATCGACAGAGCTCGAGATATCAACAGTTTATCCTTAGAATTTACGGGTTAAAGTTTAATCCAAGGAATTGCCAGGACGTCAATAAAGATATAAAAAAGTAATAATAAAGCTCTTTGTTCATATAATATATATGTTAGCTACACATGGCCAAACGGGTGGGCTGAATTAGCTAACATTTTTTAGGGAACCCATGGGTGCCCGAGGGGTAACTAAGGTTAAAGAGTAGATTTTTTTTTAAATTTGAATTTTTTTCAAAAAGTGTTGCTACGGGTAACGCCGGGCACTTCAGTTGGTTAGTAATAATTCAAACAAACAACTTAAACTGAACGGGCAGGGGGATCTAGACGACCCGATTGAGCACGTTATCAACAGATTAAATATACAAAAGGTTTGACCTATGTTTAGGGTTGCAAGATGCTCACAAATGTATTTATCTACCCAGCTCTATGGAGAAAAATCAGTATCTTCCATCCTATCTTAGCCAAAATGTGATTTTTATTGTAAGTAATTATTCACATATACATACTGGGTCTTTTATCTTTTTCAATTAAAGAAGCTGATTACTTGACTCAAACTCTAATTTTTAATCTCTGTTTGCAAGCTAATGGTACGAACGTGTAACCCTTTTTATTTTAGTTTTTCACTAATTTTGTAAAGTTTGTTAGTTTTTTTCAGGTTTCAAAGTTTTAAGGATTTGAAAAAAGAATTTGAGGCCGGGTTTTTGATCCAAATATAATATTTTCTAGGAATTTTTAATAAACATATTTTTAATATTTTCAGGAGTTGCCCTCTGCCCCTCTGTTTGCCCCTGGTGTGGCCCCTGGTTTATTCCTCTACACTCCCAAACTAACAGGGGCATTTCAAACATTTATTTCTAAAAACATTTCGATAATATATTTAATGATAAAAATATGACTAAAAGAATAAGGGGATTATTTAGCATTTTTCGGAAGAAAAATTTCGCATATTCTTAAGTTTTCTAAAATACAGTTTTTAATCTTAATGTATTCCCCCTTGCTATTATAAAAATTAGTTGCAACGCTTTTAAGGATTAATTCACTCCCAAAATCGAGAAAAAAAAACAATCGATCTTCGAAATTATTTGCATCTGTTATTTTTCATCCTAGTTTTAAAAGTATGCTTAACAAAATAAACCCTGTCGCAAAAATATCAAAATTATCAAATGCCAAATGATCAAATGTCTAATTATGGAATACAAACGCAGGACGTTTCAATTAGGTCTACAAGCTAGAAATGTAAACAAATCAGAGAAAATTCATAACAACGGATCGTTCTGCATTGTTCATCTAAAAACTGGTTAAATGTCGACAACAAAGAGAAAATATAGAGGAGACTATAAGAGATAAGGAAAGAGAATAAAAGAGATAAGAGAACAGAAGAGTAGAGAAGAGAAGAAAAGAGATAAGAGAACAGAAGAGTAGAGAAGAGAAGAAAAGAGATAAGAGAACAGAAGATTAGAGAAGAGAAGAAAAGAGATAAGAGAACAGAAGATTAGAGAAGAGAAGAAAAGAGATAAGAGAACAGAAGATTAGAGAAGGGAAGAAAAGAGATAAGAGAACAGAAGAGTAGAGAAGAGAAGAAAAGAAAAGAAAAGATAAGAAAAAAGAGAAGAAAAAAGAAGAAAAAAGAAGAGAAGAAAAAAGAAGAGAAGAAAAAAGGAGAGAAGAGAAAGAAGAAAGAGAGAGCTTACATTTTACAGACGTTTAATCATAAAAATATGTTTAAGAATACCTTAAACTTTAAAATAAACTTTATTGTAAAATTTTATGATATTTTTGAAAAAATAGAAGTCCAAACTGTTTCGCGTACATTTTTCTGAGCATTTAAAGATTTTTGATCATTTGGCATTTGATATTCTGATATTTTTGCGCATTTAACAAATGTTGTCTGCCTGTTTTGTGCTTACAAAATGACCAGAATTGTCTAACTATGAAACAAAACCAGATTACCTTCTTAGTCCTTACTTATCTATTATTTTTTAAATCATGAAGTAAAATTTTAGTTTTTTCTAGGTTTAAATGAACAATTTTTATTCCGAAGACTAGGGTTGAAAAAAATGAAAAAAATGTAAACTATTATGTCCTTGTTACATTTAAGATTACAACTTTTAACTACTTTAAAAATTGACTTTACAAAATAAATATTTTTATCTAATATGAGCGGATTTAAATGTTTAAAAGTTTAGGTTGTAATATATTTGTAGCTCATGATCCACAACTTCATAAATACTGGGTTTTAAGGTAAAAAAAAACATACAAAAACATGCAAAATTACGATAAAGGTTGATTTTGAAAAAGTGTCTTTCTCATTTTGTTAAGAGATAGAAAAAAAATAAAAAATCGTCCAGTACTTCTTCAAAACTAAACATTTGTGAAACTATTTCAAAATAATGGCTAATCCTAATAAAAGATTTAAGAACTAAAATGCCGTGTTGACCAGAATGTAGGTACTTTTGAGAAACACCTAAGGAAAGCCAATGTAACCTGTCACGAAGACAACTTAGATCTGATCAAAAATAAATATTTGTTTTTTTGGTGAATTTTTTCTATCTCTTGACAAAAAGAAAAAAGACACATTGTATAGTATACTCTTTCTTTATGAAATTATGAATTCTGTGTTACTAGTATGTACAATGTACATGATATATTCACACACAAAGATATACATACATTTTTTAATGCATGGTGTAGTTCAAATTTATTTAGGAAATTTTTAACTAAATAGTGTTATGCAAACAACATGCAAAATTATGCTAAATAGTCGACATTAATTTTTACTCGTGCATAACAAATTTAACATTTAATCGTTATTGAATCCTTTAATATATAAAAGAAGAAGTGATTTTTTTTTGTAGATATTTTAGCATTTTAAAATATTTTCCATATTTTAGGATAAGCGGGAAAAATGCAGTTGTTCCGCCGGAATTAGAAAAAGACAAGGGTAGGATATGGTTTGAATATCACACAACTCATTTTTTATTAATTTTTTAATTTTTTTATTAATAAATCTATATTCTTTATGTTTTTAACATTCATTTTTGAATGCCAAAAATGCTATTAACAAAATTTTAAAAAGACCAGTGAATTTTTTTCTTTGACTGTTGTATCTTCTTTTTTGCTTATCATACATCTGTTTTCTGTTCCTCTCTTTTATTCTTATTCTAATCCCTTCTAGACAAGAGAACATTTTGAAACATATTTCTGATTTTCTTTCTCCCTAATATTACGCATATTTCTATTTGTTTTCCATGCAGAGGTGTCAAATTTCTCTGACAAGTTTTGTTGAAGAATGAGGATGAAACTTTTTCATCCAGCTATTGTTCATATGTATTATATATATTCTTACAGGTTGGAAAAATAAAAGTCACTGCTAAGCGGTTTTTGAAAATTCTGAAGATGCATTGTCAGAATTTCACATTAATAATGACATTAATAATGGGATAAGGAAGGTTAGGCAAGGAGTGAATATTTTCGACAAAAGAATTCTTGATTCTTGTAAGTTCATCTTAGACAGCACTTCAGAATACGGCCTGGTCTACAGCAATCTTTTCCTCGCAGCCGGCAGAGTATAAACGGGTATCATAGCGTATGGTGCACAACCTATCAGGATTCTACTTTCTATGTTTCAATTTTCCTTGTTATTGGCAAGAGGGAGTGGGAAGAGAAGCATAGAGAAACCCCTCCTTCTCAGTACTTTTATTTTCTTTTTTCCCAAGTAGGATGTATTGCCATTTTTTATTCCACAGAGGGTTCTGCTCAGCTGCAAGAAATTGGAGAGAGTTGTATAACAACCTGACTGTTCTGAAGCTCCCTTGATGCTTGCGTTCAAAAATGAAATATTGATTGTAGTTCCGTTTTTTCTTTTCCAATTGTGTGCAGGGGCGTATATACTCTCCTAGCTAAAGTTTCTCTAGTTTAGTAATAGCTAAGTTCATCAGAAAAAAACTTAGAAATCATGAAGCTAACTTTTTTTTACTTCATAACTTCAAACAAAATATTCATTTCTTTGAAATACTTTCTATAGGTTCGATATTGAAAACAATATTGTCTAACATTTTTATAATATGCCAAAAACGAGTTTTCAGAAAAATCATCGAAATTGATAAAAATATTCCATTCAAGTTAAAAAAGGTTGTTTAATAATTTTTTTTACCAAAAAATCCATTTTTATTAAATTAAAGTGGTTTCATTCAATCAAGATTCAAGAACCATAAGACTCTATTTTAGATAAAATAATAATATTTATTAATTCAACAAAATAATTATATAATCTTCAATCAAAATGTTAAGGTAGATACTCACCACAAACACTTAATCCCAATGTCTTTGCAACCTTGAGGTTTGATATTAAAAACTGACTTTTTGTGATTTTGCATTTTTGAAATATAGTTTTCCGAGACATTTTCTATTTTTAGAGCTTGAGGCCAAGGAAGAAGAAGAGAAAGAAAAACAACTTCAAAAAGAACCAACAACGGATGAAAAGCTTTCAGCGGTAATTGAAGACATTTTTTCATTATATTTTATGTATTAAATATTTCTTTTTAGCTGGAGAAAAAGTTGATGAAATTGCCGAGAGCAAGCACAGAAATAGGAAAGCTGAAGAAAGAAATTGAAAATTTAAAGGTATCTGATTGTATTTGTAGAATTTACAAAAATAAGATTTTTTTATGATTATAAAGGGACAATTAACGTTATTTACTTCTCATTTGGATAATAGGCTAATATCATTTCCAACATTTTTAAAGACATTGGGTCACTGAAAAATTGCGTTAATTACTCGACCTTTCATAGGTTCTGAAGAATCAGGAGAAGATATCGGAATTAAAAGAAAATTTGTCAATTTTACCCAGGTAAACTAGATACATTGAAAAAAAAAAAACAAGTTATGAACGAAAAACTGCAAAATTCAAATTTGATCAACTTTGGGTTTCATCACTGTGACTATTTGATAATGTGCTGTAAACCCTCCAACTTTGATAATGTAAATGCACTCAACTTTTTATAAATTTTTCCTTTCTATACATGTCTAGGGCTACAAAAAAGCAAAAGCGTGTTAGTACAGTAACATTAAAGCCTAAGGTGTTGGAACATTCCAAAGTCCACCCAGTCTTAAAAATTGATGTAACTTTCCAGCAGGCGTGATCTATTTTACCCTTCTGTGTCTGAATTTAATGAAATTAAGCCACGTCTGAAATCCCCCAAAAACCACTTTTAATTGACCACTGGCTGAAATCTTGAAAAATTTAATACAAATTTAAGTGGAACCAACCATATTTGAGCCCTGGCTTAAATTTAAACCGCGGCTTAAATTCTTTAAATTCGGCGTCCGGTTTTCTTTAGATATAGTGAAGAATCTGCCCGCTTAAAACTGTTACTAGAAGAACTTGAGATGAAAGAGAAGAAACGAAAAGAGGAGGAAGAGGCAAGGAGGAAAAAGGTTTGTTATTGGTGTACATGAAAAAAAATCTTTAATGGCTGGGTATCATTTTTAAACACAAGCAGTGGCATGGCGTGGCTTAGCCCTTCCCCTAAACCCAGGACTCTGTTTACGCCCCTAAACCCTAATTTTGTACTATTTATTTCACTATTCTATTCTGATTTTCTATATGATAATCTTAATATTGTTAAAGGAAGAGGAGTTACTAGCGTCCAAGAAGAAAGTCAAACTGGAAAAAGAAAAGAAGGTTATACCAACAGCAACAGAACGGAAATCTCTTTTAAATTCAATAATTCCGTTTTATGCAGAGTAAATATATGTTTTTAGGAGAGTATAACAAAAAGTGTTATCCAAGAAAAATTAGAGAAGGTTAAAGCTAAGAAGGAAATGATGGAACAGGCTGAGATTGAGAAAGTTCAGTCAGGTTGATATTTTGCAAATACATTTATGGGGGTCTATAATAAAAGAGAATCTTCTATCATTTTAGCTGTTCTAACAAAACAAAGTATTCTCTGTAGTGAACAAACCATGTGTTCTTTTAGTGTTGGGAGGACGACATCAGAATTGTGCGGGGCATGGTGCGCAAGCCCATGGAAAGGAATCTGTAACCTCTCTCATCTCAAGGTTAGAATAAATTGCAGGACGTACAGAGATTAGAATGTCAGTTATGATATACAATATTGTTACAATTGAGACATTATTTTAGATTCATTCTTTGTTTTTGAATTTAAGAGTGTAACAAGGGAGGGGTGGCTGCTCCCCCTCTATCACTCCCCTTCGATATTGCAAAGAAAAATAAAATGTGGCCATGTATACTGCAAAAAAGAAATATTAAATGCAAACCAAAAGATATTTTCTTTACAAGAGATCACAAAGAGTCAACATTAAAAGCCTTAATTCAACCCTTCCTGTGAATTAAGCATAAAAGAAACAACAAAATGAAACATGAATCAAAAGTAAACTTGATAATTATTATTTCAATTTTTATTTAGAAAATCCTCTGCAAATCCCAGTAAGGGTGTAAAGGTAAGGTATTTTTCCAATTTCAATGCTCCTCATTTTAAATTTGTTGAACACAATATAAAATAATTAGTTTATTTTGATTTTAGAATATTTGTTTAAAAATATAATTTTTTCAGGAATTAGATGAACAGTGGGGTAGAAAAATTAGCAACATGAAATTGCCAAAGGTTCTACAATATCTAAAAAATCTAAAAATAAAGAGAATACATATTAAATTGTAAATAATTTATTTCAATCATTCTAGAACATAGCAAAACATAGATGCGAAGACAAGGGAATTAAGAAAAAGTCCTGGGCTGTCCAGTTTAAAGAGTTCAGGGCATTTGGAGAATGTGTTCTAGATTATTTAAGATCCCAGGTAAAAATAAAAGTTTTATTGAATTACAAAATTACATAAAAAAGAAAAATAAATTTAGTGTTCAGACCTATTGAAACATAGAACTTAGCTTCTGGCTCACAAAATTCAGAACATTATCATCAAAGATTATCAAAAGGATTGGCAAAACAAATATTATTATTCTGATAACACTAGACATTAAGACTATGGAGCTCTCTGAAGTATTTCTGTCATAATTTATGATCGTGTTGATCAAACAGAAAAATGTTACTAAAGTCATTACAAGAGAAATTGTAGAGGATCTTAAAAAGAACTCCTTCAATGGTTTGATCACCATTTTCTGAAATTCAACTGAATCATCTTTTAAGATAATCTTGACTGGTAATTTGTTCACCCCTTTTTGGTCAGGGATTTCTTTTGTAGAAACTTGTTGTACTGAAGTTCTGCGCTTTGTTGGCCTTCGAACTACCTGAATTAAAATGTCCCCAGTTGACCAGGATCTCTTTAGCTTGAAAGTTTTGTGTCTTAGACTGGACCCTGCAATGTATGGTTGAAGGGGTTTATGCTGTTGAACCTCTTTTTGTGATTTGACCTTTGTAGATGGAGCCATGCATTTGACTTTCTTTAACAATCTCAATACATAGATTATGGTTTTGATTACTTCCATAAGAGTTGAAAGGAATAACAGGATTGCAGCAAACCGGATCTGATAGCATTCCAAATGCTCATTGCTGCTGTTTGATGTTACATTAAATGTCTGTGTTTGAATTCCAAATTCACTTATAATTTGATCCCCATCTGCAGATGCATAGTATTTTGAGTGTGTTAGCAAACATCTTATATGATTGAGTAGAAAATCTGATACAAATATCACTGCCACAAACACCACTGAGAATATTAAGCTAGTATTCCGACTTATGCCTTGGTAGAAACCTGGAAATGCAATCAGAACTAGTCGTGCAGCAGAAAGCATAACCAATGATGCACAAAAGCAACATGCCAAAGGCTTGGGATTTAGCAAATACTTGGATATTTCTAGATTGTACGCATAGAATGTGCTTAACCCTTCTTGGTTAATATTTGTCATCAAGCTTAGTGTATAATATTCTAAAAGTGCTGCCTCTACAGTTAGCAAGAACTGAATAGAGAGTCCGTCGAGAATATTTTTTTGTGTTAGACCAGCCAGGAAAACTTGGAAAATTACACAGGCTGTAAAGGAAAACATTAAGCCTACTGTATCAACAGTTAATCTGTACAGGTTTGGATTCTTCGGAACATACGTCACAAAACAACCATATGCTGCTAGGAGTAAACTTGTGCCTAAGGTTTTTAAATTCATCATTTTCTTGTTGCCTTTTGAGCTGAATGAAAAAAAGTGATAGTCTGCAGCTCAACTTACATTGAATAAATCAAGTATTTTTCTTGAAGCAATGATCGCTTTTTTATAACTTGTTTTGAATTGTTTCAAAAAATAGTGTTGTATGTAGAGACTTTCTCTCTTCTCTAATAGACCGAGCAGGTTCAAGAGCTGCATAATTTAATTTAATTGGCTTCTCTGTTGTGAAACCACATCTTTCAATTGCTTAGCAACTGGTGAGGTTTTCTTCTTTTTTCCTCTCACTTCAGATTCTTATTGATCCATCACTATAATACCTTGAAAACCAGCCATTATTTATTATTTTAATATTAAAATTGAGGACAAATTTAAAGAATTTAAACTGCCAAAAAACGATTCCAATTGATGGGCCCCTCAGTAGGATTACAGCGGGGGTTAGTCATTTTCTCAAAATTATGAAAGGTTCCATCACTGTTGATGCACTCAATTCTATGCTCTAGACTGAGAAAAATATTTGATGCACAGTAATAATAAATTGGATTAAATGCATACATTTTCTCAATTACATCTCTTGTGATCTTTGGACATATTTAAAGTGCAATGCATATTGTATACCATAGGAATATTGAGTATGGATTGACTTTTATTGCAAAATGACAACTTTCAATTCCATCTGAACAATGGAGCTCAGAAGATTGAAGAGTTGAAAAGTGTATGTTTAAACTTTACTGCAGTCTAATGTTACAGCTCATGGACTGTAGTTTTATTGTAAACAATAAAATACTGATGAAACAGGGCTTGTAATTTCTTTGCAGAGCTCGCAGAGCGAAGCATGCAATTTAAAAGATTCAGCTCGGGTTGTAATTCCTTAAACCCAGCTAAAAGACCCAATCTTAGACTCAACTCTGACAACAGCTTGTGAAGTTGTGACACCTGATTGACAAATAGAATATTCAACCGGTTTTTTGAACTCAACTCTGTGGAAAATAATTTGCAACTTGAATCCGAAATCTTTAGTTGTAAATAAGGCCCAATGACATCTTAGACCTGAGTCGTATTTTGTTGAACTTTTTAAATCACCGACTCAACAAAGATTATCTTGAACAACCAATTGCTGGAAACTGATGGCATCGTAGCTTCTAATAATTACTTTCAGAGATGTCATGCTCGGTTTAAATAGACAACAATGTAGCAATGAGAGAAATAAACGGACTTTATATATACTGAATCTAGCAATACAAAGTTCAAATATCTACTTGAAATCTAACATGGAAATTACAGATATATTTGGTTTGGTTCTCAGAGCTTCCGGAATGTAAAGACGATATTCCAGGGTCTCCACAACAGACCCTTTATTTTGTCTATGAATAATAATACATATATATATATATATATATATATATATATATATATATATATGAGTAGGGGATGAATGCCCACTTTATTCTACGAGTAGCAACTGATAGGGACTGGGCCGCTGATGTTAGAACTCAGCAATACTGGCTCGACGAAACAAACAGGTTTAATTTTGGAACCCATATTGTAGGTCACTAACGGTCATTTTCAATACATCTTTTTCTACTGCGGGATAACAATTTTAAATTATCATTACATCAATGGATTCTATTAGAACTATAACGATAAGAAGAAAATCTTTTGCCATACATTTTTCGGAATTTTAAAATCATTTTGCAATTGGATTGGAGTCATTATTTAAATAGTTAATAAGCAGGCTTGCACTTCTAACATCAAATACTTCAACTTTGGTTTGAATCGCTATTTCTGTTTTTTTAAAGTTTTCTAATGTTTTGACAAACATTATTAACAAAAAATCATTTTCTTTTAAATTTTGCACAGAAATGTTTGATTTTACAGTTTTTGTTTTGTTTAAGGGTAGGGAAGTGTAACCATTATATGTATAGAGGAGAGGCAATATTTTTTGCAAAATTTGATGGTAATTTTTTTAACTTAATAAATAAAAACTTTTTATACAACTTCGTTTTTCTTTTAGAGGGAAATTGGAAGTTTGGAATTAAGGACTTAAATCTAGCCAGAGGACTAGGGCAAGGTTTAAGTATACTTACTCTTTAACTCTTTAGATGAATCAAGATGAAAAAAAATGTAATACTAACTTAAAACCTTATAATCAAATCAAACTAGCTGAAGTGCCCGGCGTTGCATATGGGCCGATAAAAAAAAAATTTTAATTTAAAAAAAATCTGATTTTTAAAGAATAAAAATCGATTAAAAAATAAATCGATTTTTTTAGCCTATGTTACTCCCTATGCAATAGGAACCCATGGGTTCCCTCAAAAAATTGCATTCCATTCGGTCCAGCTGTTTTTCCGGCTATAACTAACATATAAATATATATGTATATAAACATATATATTCATCTGTTTTTTTGATTGAATAATAATTGAATATAAATATATATTATACAGATTTGAATTATTATGATAAAAGGTTTAAAATGTTTTTGAAATGTTAGGATTTAAGATTTTGGGAGCCTACATGGCCGAATTTAAGTTGATTCTTGAAGCCCAGAGAAAATAATCATGCTAAATCATTATGTTATAATAATAATAACAGTAGGGTTCAGTTGTGAAGGTTGTTTATAGGAACCAAAAACTGTTAAGATAAAATAATCTTTTTGTATATTTTTAAGGTTTGGTAAATATACATTATACGAATCATGTTTTCTTTTGTTTTGTGATGCAGTATAATGTAAATATTTTTCATAAATGAATGCTGTTTGATTAAAAAAAAATATTGCTTGATTAAAAAAATATTTACTCCGATTTTAGGGAAACGTGGTTTTATTTTAATATCTGACAATTCTAGGGGGTAAATATCCTTTAGAGGGAAAAGATTTTTTCCACGCTAGTAATTGTGATACTCATCATATTTATCATCAGGTAAATAGAAAGTTGGGGCCATTTTTGCAAGTGTTACATGAGGAAAAGGACTCAGAAATGAGGGATGTGATATAGATATAAAAGCATTAGATTAAAATCATCAAATGGCATGTGTTGAAAATATTTTATACATTTCCTTCTCCACTTTCACGTTCATTTTTTTTAAATTGACTTAAAGGGACTGTAAGTGTAATTTCAAATGACCCTCCATGCAAAGATATTAATGCATGATTTACAACTGTACCCTTAAACACCAATTCGACTGATCAAATTTGGGGGAGTCTCATTAAACACTTTGTTTGCAAGATGTTTTAACTTTTGAAAACATTAATATATTCACTTTCTAGAATATGCTGCAGAAGATAAAATATTTTCTTTCGAATTTAGGACACTGTTTTTAATATGAAATATTATGTCAAATTTCGCAAGTATATGTCAAATTTTGCATCAGCTGTGTTGAGGTCAAACTGTACACCGCGTTTTAAATGGATTCAAGTGGTTTTTAAAATAATTAAACAAAGAGTTTTCTTTACTCAATGAACAGTCAAAGGATTAATGAGTTATACTTCTATCAGGCGTTGTCCTCTTGGCATGGAGGGTCACTTGAAATGACGATACTTACAGTCCCTTTAATAGAATTTCTATTGGTAAAAGGTTTGTGTTTTCAGGCAATGATGAAAGGTTCCAAGGCTGTAGAAAGACATGGAACGCATAGCCATGGAACTGCTGAGATATCCGGAATTCATAATTAAATAGACAGAAGTAAAAATTTATGAAATAAATGTTTTATTAAAATTTTCTGTTTTGACATTAATTGATAAACACAGCTCTATCACAATACTTAAGTTTTTTTTACTCTGTTACTCTGGATTAGCTGGTTTCCAGGGAACAAAAACTTCACAAAAAATTGCGAAAATATTTGTTCCTATTTTAAAACTTTTTTGCGCAATATAGTATTTTTCCGCGAAAATTAATTAAATGAAAAAATGCAAAAACGACAATTGAAATTTCGCGAAAACAATTTTCTTTAAAGATAATCACTGTAGCTGCAACAATTACTTACGCAAAAAAAAACTTTGCTTTCATTTTTTCGCGAAATTTGCGCATTTCTTATTTTTCGAAAATTTCGCATTTTTTCCTGAAACAGATTAAAGAAATTTTTTTCAAATAATAAGCGAAAATCTTCACAGTTTTCGTGAAAGAACAAAACCGAAAAATGCGAAATTTTCGGCGAATTTTCCGCAAAATAAGAAAAGCAAAAATTTTGCGAAAAATCAAGAGCAAAATTTTGCAAAAAACAATTTGTGGAAATTTAGCCAAAAAAGTACGGAATGTTTGCGAATTTTTCATCAATCATTTATTCATTGGAAACCCTACTCCGGATAAGGTGTAGAATATAATCTGCTTTTTATTGTAATCAATTGTTTGTTTGGTAAATTATTGCTTGATAAAATAAATGGTAAAAATTCTAATAAGTATACAATAAAAGATTAAAACTAAAGATTAAATTACAAAAAAGGCCAATTCATGGGTCCTGACCTACATAGACATACATGAAAGCTTGAGATATACAAAGTCCAGAACTTTTTCATCAAACACCACTAATAGAATGGGCAATAGAAAAATGATTATTCTGGTAAAACTAGACAGTACCCAGAAAGAGCTTTCTGACTTTTTTGTTTGAAAACTTATAATCACATAAATCAGAGTTATAAATGTGATTGTGGTCACCAGAAAAGAGATTGTAGAGGATCTGCATAAGAACTCCTTAAAGGGTTTGATCACCATTTTTTGAAAATTATCTGAATCCACCTTGGAGATCTTCTTAACTGGTAAGTTTTTTACCCCTTCAGGATGATAGATTTCTTTTGCTGTTGTAAGTTGCAGAGAAAGTCTTCGCTTGCTTGGTTTCTGAATCATCTGAATTTTTATATCCCCAGCAGAACAGGATCTTTTCAACTTGTTTTTAAGCTTCAGACTGACCCCTGGAAGGTCAGGTGAAAGGGGTTCAAGTTGGTGACCGATATTTAGTGATATGATCTTCACAGTCGGAGCTGTGCGTTTGTTTTTTCTCAATAATCTTGATAAAAAGATGAAGATTTTGATGACTTCCATTAGGGATGACAGAAATAATAGAATTGCTGCAAACCGGATCTGAAAGCATTCTAGTTGCTCATCATCATTGCCCGTTGATATTATATTCAATGTCTGTGTTGAAATTCCGAATTCGATTCTCATTTGTTCTCCGTCTGCGGATTCATAGTGTTTTGAGTGCGTTAACAAACATCTCACATGATTTAGCAGAAAATCTGATATTAGTATGACAACATTAAAGGCTGCTGAGAACACCAAGCATGTCTTTCTCGGCAAGCACTGGTAGTATGATGGCAAGGCAATCAGTAATAGTCGTGCAGCAGAAAGCATAACCAATGATGCGCAAAAACAACATGCCAGAGGCTTGGGATTCACCACATATTTGGATATTTCTGGGTTATTAGCATAGAATGTGCTAAACCCTTCATGGGCAATGTTGGTTACGAGGCTCAGAGTCCAGAAGTGCATAATTGCACCCTCTGTTGTGAGCAAGAACTGAATACAGAGCCCACCTAGAATGGTTTGCTGTGTTGAACTTGCCAGGTAAACTTGTAATGTGACACAGGCTAAAAAGGAACAAATTGACCCAACCGTATCAGCAGTTAGTTTGTACAGGTTTGGATTGCTGGGAACATATGTTACAAAACAACTATAGGTCGCTATCAATAAACTAGTGCCTAGCAGTTTTAATTTTATCATTTTCTTGAGACCCTGCAAGCTATAAAATAAGATAAGTTTTTTCGTCCAAAAACACTGTTCTCAGTTCAAACTTTCTCTCTTGTCTAAGCTCGTCAGAGGGAAAAAAGGAGTCTCATTGTGTAAATTACTTCTCTGTTTTGTTTTTGGCTGCTTGGCAACCATTTTCATTTAGAAAAAAGTATTCCCTATGAATAGGAAGGGGAAGTTTTAGTCACATGAGCTGTGGAAATTGAGAAAAAATTCTAAATTCCAAAATTATAATATCATAAGTATTAAACAAATATTTCCCCCCCTATTCATTCTAACGTATAGTAAAGGCATATTGATAAGAAATTTATCTGTCTGTGCCTTCAAAAAACAAAATTTTCTTTTTTTCGGTCACACTAGAGTCTAGGAGTCCTAGGATAAGGCTTTATTGACGGCCTAGAACTCTTTCTATACCATGGATTTCAAGATAAATTGGATTAATTTAACTAACTAAACCCTTAATAGGTTTGGGCAGAGATAAAAGAGTTACAGAGATCGATACCTATAATATGCGATATTTTCCACAGTATATTCCATTGTGTACAAGGACTGTACACGACCAATCAGCAAACATCTGTATTCAGGGATATTTAAGGATCCTTTGAATACGAAACATAAAATCTTCAAAAAAAAAAACAATATTCATAAACGTTATGTTTTATGTTTAAAATTGTAGAATTTCTTTAAAAGTTGTAAAACTTAACCCTGAATGCAACAAATGGCCGTGAGATGTTAGTCAAAACCCATTACATGAAACCGTAGCATGGCGTGCCGGGACATTTAAGGCCTGCTTAGCCTATCCAGGTAGAGTGTATGAGCAGTCTGTGGGTTGGGGGTGGGTGGTTTTTGCCAGCACTCGCATTTTTGACTCTTGCAGTTTGACATTTTTCACTCCCTCTGGTTTTTGCCAGCGCTTGCATTTTTGACACGATCAGTTTGACAGTTTTTCACTTTCAAGAAATGATAATTTGAAGAATTTTATGCAAAAAAATATCTTTTTTAGGCAGGACTGTAATTTTTACAATTAATTTGTTACAAATTTATTGATACATGTAAATGCAGAATGTACATAATTATTTTCCAACCTTCTTGTTTTCTAATTGTCCTTTAGTTCGGCGTTCAATTCCCTTTAGGATGGTTAATATGCAGGATTGTTTATTGTTAACATTGCTGAAATGAGAACTTCCCTTTGTCAGCTGCATTGAGTTACATGTATCAGTATATGCAGTAATTTAGAAAGAAGTCTAATAGACCTAGCCTTCACTGTATTCAGGACTGTTATAACGAATCTTTTTTTCAATGAGGTTAAAATAAAGGTTTATACACTCACAAGTCTTCCCCTGCTTCTCCCTCTGAGTGAGCAAGAAAAAATGCGTAAAAATATATTTTGTGACAGAATAAAAAATTTGTTCTCAACGAATATCAATTCTCCGCTACAACCCTATGTTCTAACGCGGCCATTTTGAGAAAAGTGTCTCCCTGTATCAGTCCAATCGATTTGACGGCCTCCTAGTTCCTAACTGTGGGTACACAGGGGAATGGGGCAAGGTTGACATCAGGTTCAAAGGAGCTAGTGGGGGTACAGAATTACCTCTTTATCTACTTTATTCTGAAAAAAAGAGAAAAAAGTCTTGAATGACGACATATTTCATTTTTGAATAATTAACTTTTAGCCGAGCACACTGTGTATACAACCGTCATGTTCAGTTATATCATTACGATAGTATTACCAACATTTGAAATGCACCACTCATGTTTTGATCTTGAAAGTTTTCGTTTTTAGGATTTTAAGTACTTAAAAACTTTCAGAGCCGTAAAATCGACAAAATCTACATTATTGATCCTGATTTAAAGGGTACCATTATGAATCGGGCATGTCCCTTTTTAGATGGAGGGCCATTTAAAATTGCAACATGTCCCTTTTTTACATTTATTCACACTTTAAATTTGTTAAATATTGCAGGATATAGAGGGGCCGGATGAGTCTTTGATTCAAGATTTTTCCATTTCATTTCTGAAAATGTCTTTTACTTTCTCTAGTTTATTATCCAATATTATCTTGGAAACCCAGCTTCGCCTGGAGTTTACCTGAATCAATTCAGCCATGACTCAGCTTACAAAACAAACCAACAATAAATGATTACTACTTTTATTTATATATACATGATTCTATGCCCGGTTGATAAGTTAGCACTCAAATCCCTTGACCTATTTACTTCAAAAATTTTGACTGGATAACCGGCAGAACCACGGGAAAGTTTTTTTGCTTGATTTAAAATTCTAAGTTTTTTGGGTAACTTTTATGGAGAGTTTAGTTTCCAGGCAAAGCTGGATTTCCAAGCTGGTATTCTGCATGAATTAATTTAACTGCTTCTATTCTTTCTATAAATGATGTCCCGCATAATTTCGGATCGTTTATGGCTCTAAATTGCGATCTTCGCGACTACACAGAAAATTTAATAATTTAATTTTAATAATTTAATTTAATATAAAAATTGGCACGCAGAAAAACTAGGCTTTAATCGTACTATGTGCGTATTAGCGTTATATCTTTGAGATAATCCAATATAATATGGGATGCTCTGTAGGTTTAAGTTGACCTTTATGGGACGCTCTGTAGGTTCAAGTTGACCTTTATGGGACGCTCTGTAGGTTCAAGGTGACCTTTATGGGACGCTCTGTAGGTTCAAGTTGACCTTTATGGGACGCTCTATAGGTTCAAGTTGACCTTTATGGGACGCTCTGTAGGTTCATGTTGACCTTTATGGGACGCTCTGTAGGTCCAAGTTGACCTTTATGGGACGCTCTGTAGGTTCAAGTTGACCTTTATGGGACGCTCTGTAGGTTCAAGTTAACCTTTATGGGACGCTCTGTAGGTTCAAGGTGACCTTTATGGGACGCTCTGTAGGTTCAAGTGGACCTTTATGTGACGCTCTGTAGGTTCAATGTGACCTTTCTATAAAGTCTCTAATGAGACTCTGATCACCAGATTGAATAAGCAAGTTAAAGTTATTTATTCCGTTAAACATCTTATAATAAGGACTATAATGATAAAGAAAAAATAACTACAAATTTTATTATTCAACAATAAGCTTCTTTTAGAAGGTAAAAGAAAAAATTGACTGTCCTATTTTAGGTAGGTATTCAAAATAACATTCAAATCTAAACTTAAATTTAACGTCAAAACATACGCGGCAGTATAATAAGGATAAAGTGAAGGGTGGCACGTTGCAACAGCTAACACTCGACAATTATTTCAGCTGTTGATTTTAGCGCCATTTTGAAACAAAGCGTCCAAAATTGGTTAAAAATAAGCGATATACTTTATATACTTTGTAAACTATTTATAAGAAGTTAAAATTTATGAAACTTTGGGATGTTTTCATCTGATGGTTCTTCTAGTCTGCGCTTCAACTAAAATAAAATAAAAATTAAATTGATAAATCCGATAATAAATCCATAAATTCATGCTGAAAGTACTTACAAATAAAAAATCTGGCTAAAAATTGCATTGGGTAAATAGTTAGGAGGCAGGGGGAGGTATATTATTTGCCTATAAATGGGAAAAGACCTTTTAAAGAATTGGGACAAAAAGTTTTTTTTAAAGAATGCACATTACACAACAAATAGAACATTTTCAAGTGAAGGGGCTGGCTGGCAATTATTAAACATTATATTTTTACATCTAAGATTCTACTTAACTAGGCAACAGGCATGCAGGATAACTCTTTGAGTAAAAATTATAAAATCTACTATTATTTTGTATTGAAATAATTTTTCCTGAATACTTGGTTTTTGTTCCATGCTTCCAGTTCTCCATGCAATTTACCTCCACCAATTGTCATTTATATCACATAAACTTTCTTTTTTTTTAACTGATATTTACTTTAAATGATTTATTTTAAGATTAAAACATAAAATTCAAACAAGGCAGTTAGTGTAATTCATAAATTTATCATTACAGTACAACTGAAGGGCAAATGTTTTTAGCAAGTGCAAATTGTTTTGATTTGATATTTTCACAAAGTATATATAATAAACATCACAAAAAAAGATAAATTTAAATTTATTGTTGTAACTATTGCAATCATTTTAAAAAGATTTTATGGATAACGATTTAGTTTCTCTATATTATATAAAAAGTCAAAAGACGACCTTGGTATATTTTTCTTGTGTGGACATTGGACATGGACATTTCTAAAGGAATCTACGAAGCCATAAAATAATGCACCTTTTTGTTTAATTATTCCCAAAGCTTCTAAAATTTTGTTTACAACGTGAGAAGGGGTAACCCTGATTATGAATGTTATGAAGTGTTGTGTTAAAGAGAAGAAAATTTCTTCGAATCCATTTGAACATAAAAAAAAGACAAAACTGATAAATCGAACCAGCCAGAGGAAATCGATTCACTATAAATGTTTCAACAATCATTGCCATAATAGTTCTACATCTGCAGGGACATTTTGTGTTTTGTAAAATTTTATTTACTTCAGAATAGTAAGAACTGTTCGTTAATATTTTAAAAAAATCACCAGCCAAAATATTTTAATTAAAAAATGGTTTCAGTTATGATAAAGGAAGCCAAAAAAAAGCATTCCATAAAAGTAAATGGCAGTGGGTGGTAGGATCACAAGGGATTAAAGGGAGTGGCCGGCAATGTATGGTGGTTGAATGGAGTATGCAGTAATGTAGAACAATTTTATAGGCTTCTTTTGAGACATATAAAAAGTATGATTATTTCGACGTCGACGTTCAAACTCATGAATTTGGGTGGGTACGTTTCAGAATCTTTTTTTAAATTATTAAATAACGACTACAAAAATTTAGTAAAATTGTATAGTAAACTATTTAGATGTTTAGGAACATATTTATCAAAAGAAATTTGTCAATAACTCAATGTTAGAATTAATTATTTTGCTTTCTTCATTATATTGAATTTCTGAATTTCTATGAATCTGTTCGCAGATTTCTACACATTCTTCAAATGTCGTCTTTTCAATAGAAATCTGCAGAAAATCTGTGAATAATGAAAGATTATAGAAACTAATAAATGAACAAGATTATTTATTATCGATGAAAAGAATTAAATTTTATTTTCTCAACCTGTTCCTAAATGAATCCAAAAAATTTGTCCACAATACTACATATTCAGTTCAACCCCCATACTTTGACGGTCACTCCCTTTAAAGCAAATAATGTGAGGAACTAAAACACATATTTTTATACAGCAAAAAAATACAACATTTAAAAAGGGATATTTACTTGCTGAACAAACATGCACTACCGTCTATATTCTTAAATCAAAAATAAAGAAGTGTTTGACAACTGGTTCTATGTTAGTATATAGCTATTTATAAATATTTCATTGTTTCACACTTAAAGTTCTACATAATTGGAAAAAAGCTGTCATGAATAGTAGATTTTTAATGGACTCTCAAGTCCGGAAAATTTGACAACTAAAATATCAGTATTGTTTTAAAACAAAAAACAAAATGATCTGATAACTAGAATTATACACTAGACTCAAGATCTTCAAAATAAATGTCAAAATATTTAAAAATAAAAGGATTCACCGCAACCAGTTAAATTCCCGTTTATAAATGTGAATTTTTAAGAGAAAAACGCTCTATTTAACTAGTAAATGAGAAAACGGGAAGTCAAATAATGAAAAGTTTAGCTAGTGACCATTGACCAAGTGGTAGCATGTACATCATACCACGTGGAGACTGTACACTATACAGAAATACACTACACTATACTCTACAGAAATGCGAGAAGGAGAACATTTGAAACTTTACTTTTTCTTGAGAGTGAAGAAAGATCTACGCTTGGGTTCATCCTTCTTGTCCCCGCCTGAGGGAAGGGTCTGGGACTTGCCGGGACCTCTTTCTCCCGCCGACTAAATTTACATTAAATAAAGTTGAGAGATAATTGTACAAAATTAACAATTCTTTACCTCGCTGTTTATAGCTGTAATCCACGTGTTCATTTCATCGTCATCCGCACATTGGAACAGATAATCACCACCATTTGCTAATCTATAATATAATCAGAATGATGTTGTCTCAAATACAAAAATATGAAAGATCTTATTTCTCTTCATAATCTTTGCTTGATGTAGTTCATCTGTCTACTAGTTGTTCGTACATATTAAAGCAATATTTCGAGCGCTTTCCTGTTTACAAAGGAGGGATTTCTCTTCATAATCTTTGCTTGATGTAGTTCATCTATCTACTAGATTGTTCGTACATGTTAAAGCAATATTTCGAGCGCTTTCCTGTTTACAAAGGAGGGATTTCTCTTCATAATCTTTGCTTGATGTAGTTCATCTATCTACTAGATTGTTCGTACATGTTAAAGCAATATTTCGAGCGCTTTCCTGTTTACAAAGGAGGGATTTCCAAAAAAAGTACCGGAATTTTTATTTCAATTAAAAATGTGGCTAGTTTTGAGGTTTATTTAATTGTAGAAATAAAATTTTTTCTTCAATTTTTTTACCTTAATCTATAGACATGTTTTTTCTTGGTGTAATCTGTAGCCACCTCCGCTTCAGCTCCCTTTAGTTCTACTGCAGCTTCCCCTCTGTAAATATGAATCAGTCAAACAAATAATTAATTAAATAATTAATCAATTAAAAAAATAAGCAATCAATGAATAAACGCCACATCAGTCAGTGCATATATCAATTAATTAATCAATGAAACAGTAAATGAATTAATCAATTAGTTCATCAATCAATCAATCAAACATCAATCAAGGTGTTGAATCTTGAAAAAAACTTAAAGAATTGGGATCTCTTTATTGGAAAATTCCACTAAATAATTTAAGTTTAAAAATATTAAGTTTTACCTGTATGTAACATCTGGTGTTGTTTTGTAGGTTTTCTGATCCTTGTAGAAGAAGATTTGAGAACCCTTTAGTACTGTACATACACGATCCCAAGATCTGAACAATAGATTTACAATATACATAAAACCTTAATGGCAAATTATGTATACCAGGCGCATTGTGTAATTTAGTCTTTAGTACGATAGGAATGTTAGCGCCGAGCACAATTTTAAGAAATGCATGATTTTAATGATTTAAATTTTAATATGTAATCTGTAAATTTTTTCATTTTTCTCAAAAAATCTTTTAAAAACATTTTTCCTTGCTTTGACACTAGTAAATATTAACTAGTAAATTTCCCGGTTAAATTCCCTCCTTGCTTTCAGCAAATAATAATAATAATACCTGTTAGCTGCCTTCTTTGTTGTGGACTCCCAAGCATGTTTTCTGCCCAACATTCCCTCCAGTTCACCGTCTGCGCTCTCTATAATCAATCAATAAATCAATCAATCAATCGACCGACCGACCGATAAATGCTTCCTTATCCACCACCATTACATTGAAACTTATAGAAACTTTAAGCGTAATTTAAAATGGCCCTCCATACAAAGATGGAAATGGTTGATTCACAACGTTACCCTTGAGAACTTTGGATAATCAAGTGGTTTTTCTACCAGGGAGGAAAACACATCGGAATTATCAGACGTGAACATTTTAAACCTATAAAAACCACGTTGTCTTCCGCATTATTGATCAGATAAAGGTCTTAAGGGTACTGTTGTGATTCGAACGTTGTCATCTTTAAAGGAGGCTCACAGGAAATTACGCTTACAATCCCTTTAAGAAGTTTTTTTTATATTATCCACCTTGGCGTAATTAAATATAAAACTATTTATAACATAACTTTGTCGGGATGAAAAACTGAAAATTAAAAATATATTATTTAAATGATGAATTCACAGTACGTCCAAAACTATTATGTCAATCATCATGCTAAAAACTGAACAAAAAACATGCACACTGAATTTACTTACCTTGTAATCATGTTTGATATTAAAACATTTTACTATTTTCCCTGGACATTTAAGAAAACCAATAAAAAATTTTTATAGAAACCCAATTATTTGAAATGACGCACTTTCTTTTTTCCATTATCAACTCTCAGTGTTAGTGAAACTGTCAAATTAACATTTTTGACAATTCTGTTTTGAATTTAACGATTTATACAAAACAAAAAATTGCTAGAAAAACTCATTAAAAGATTCCAATTTTTTATAAAATAATTTTTTTAACTGAAACCTTTCTACAGATAATTAAAAATTAAAGAGGGGGGAAAGGCGACCCACATTTTTTTTTGACCGAAAATGTTTGACAATAGTTTTTCCTTCATTAACAGTTTGTTACTTTTCACAGTTCGAACGATTTTTTCGTTGGCTCAGGAAACTTTCCCCCTCACTTTATAGATCTAAAACCAGCACCAGTATCCTCCACCACCCGGAGAAACATACCAACGGTTCGTCCTCCATCCTCCTCATCACTATTGTACCCGGAGTAGGAATCGGGTTTCTTCTTCCATCTGAAGCTTCGGAATGGACTTTTACTCCGGGTTAGGGACTTACCACGTCCCTCTTTACTAGCAGTACTACTTCTTCGCGATCCTAGAGCTAAGGACAAAAACAAATCTAATCTAGGTGAACATCAATCAGATTCTAACTAAAGAGAAATCAATCTAGAAGAATCTGGATTAAAAATAATGACGAAAAAAATATGTATTAAACCAAATTTTAACGATCTATTTTTAATTTTAAATAAAGTCACAAATATTTAAATATTCAGTTAACGCCCTTTTAAAACTTTAATCTTTGCAACCTTTCCAATTTAGCAACCCTTTTCTTAAGAATTCGAACATTTGTAATTTATTAAAAATTGAACTTTTGGAAAATTATGATATTAATAATAGATCTAATCTTCCCAGAAACTAAGATTGCCTCTCTTATGGTAAAATCTTCTTGAAAAACAAAAACAAGAACACAAAACGTGAAACAGTTTCTAACTAATAACAGTGTGGAAAGTGAATTTAACTACTGTGAAAAAAATACACAAATGCAACTGTACACTTAGTGTTTATAGAGGTGTACACTGTACATAAAGGGGCTTTAACTACTGTGCATATTCAAATTACATGAACAAAGCGCACATAAAAACTGTACGTACACAAACTGTACCCTAGTGCACAGTTGCAGTTCAGCTGCAGTACATTGATAAGTGACGATAAAGACGACTATTCATAATACCGGAATGCATTTGTCAAAAATTGTCAACTTGGCAACTCCAACAATAAACAGATTTTTTGTGTGACATATTCTAGGCTTTACCAATGGCTAGATAATAGATTTATATTTTATATTCATATTTCGCAGAATCCATCGTTTAAGATGTTAAAGATCCTCTCCATCAGGTTACAAAAATGTAATTCGAGTTTGAGACAAACGTGAGGGGAATTAAAGTAAAAAACTCATATAAAATGATGTTCCATTATTATTTACAGAATTGTTCTTTATCATCTCTTATCTTGGATGCTAGGGAAAGGTGGTATTTTGCACCTGTTTTAGGAGATGAAGGAACACTCCTAGCGGAGGGGGTTGTCATGCTAGCCCCCTGTCCACCCTTTAGGGCTTGGGAAAGCCCCTTAGCTCCTGCAGGGGCTGAAGGAGGTTTACCCTGTCCAATTCCTTCATGCTGAGGTCCTGTCATGCATTAGGAAATTAAAAAATAAATAAAAAATATTTTATTTTGTAAAAAAAAACACAAATCAACCATGCAGAACATTTAGTTTGAAAGCGATTAAATTCAGCCATATTTTACAGATTAAAACAAATTTAGCAACAAATTAAGATTTATCATGCAAAAAAAGGTTATTTATTTAAAAAAGTTTTTTATATTCCATTTAACCGTTCAGAAAATATCTATGTTAGTGCAATGCAGAGGTTAAAACTTAGAATACCTTCACACTTTCTAATAGTTTTGCATGCATTTGGATATAGCTTGGATATCTAGGGGAAAGTTGGAGACATGAAGGTGGAGATATTGGATATATGAGGAGGGGGGAAGGTTGGAGACATGAGGGTGGATATTGGATACATGAGGAGGGGGGAAGGTTGGAGACATGAGGGTGGAGATATTGGATATATGAGGANCTGACCGTACTCGTCGCTCTTCAGATACGGGTCCTAGGATAACACCTCAATCAATATAATTGAAATATAAAATTAGTTAGCGAGTTTTTTTGAAAGATTATTTTATACAAAATACCACAGGGAGGAGATATTGGATACATGAGGAGGGGGGAGGGGGTCATGCAATGGTTCCCTTCACCTGTAGTGTGCTGCACAGCAGTGTCTGTGGGTGAGGCTGGATGTGAGGAAGATGGTTGAGGATCACGAAGTGTAACACGAGGTTTAACTCTAGCTTGACCTGCACCTTCTCCACCAGCAGCTGGTGCAGCTAGGAGGAGAACATTCATGCTCATGTCCAGGGTGCAGACAAACAAAATAGGAAATATACCCAGTTCTCCCAACCCTTTCATTTACAACTCACTTAACCCCTCTTCCCTACCTCAGAAAATGTGCTTTACCCCACACAATCCTTTTTCTCATCAATGCATTGAAATGGCAATAATTTAATTTTTCATTATTTTTTTTTTAAAGAACCCCTCCTTAATTAAAATTAGATAACTGAAAGATCTGCCCCCCCCCCCCTCCCCTCCCCACCTCTTGGAAAGTCAAGACAGACATCGGAGCTAGCATCCTCTTAATTCTTCTACTACTTGATATCCCCCCCCCCCTCGCTCTCCCGATGTTTCCTTCCAATATTTCCTACTTTGTTTGACTAGTGAGCAACATGCAGTGTTAGTTACATTATATTCAAATTTCAAATCAATTGTTAGAACACATTAATTATTCATAGAAAATTCTGCTTTCGATAAATATCTAAATTAGTTTATAAAATGTTGAGGGAAAAAGATAGATTTGAAGAAAAGTTGTGAAATTATAGATTATAGAAGTGAACCACACCGCCACCAAACCAAACCAAACCAAACCAAACCACACCGCCACCAAACCAAACCAAACCAAACCATGTGGTTTTTCAACCAAAGCATCATACCATGTGATTGAATTGGTAGGGAAAAACCCGCAAAATTATGGTGTTAGGTGTTAGTCACACACACACACACTCAAAACTCAAAACCACACGAAAAATAATTATTTTTATTTTATTAACTTACTTGTTTCTTTCAAACTGTGAGTGTCAGATTTGTCTCTACCGGAATCGGGTCTAAAAATATTTCTTTATAATTTTCAGTTTTTTGTACTTTAGTGAAAAGCCCTTTATACAGTAGTTCCCTACAAACTTATTTATTTTTCTACAGCTATATAAATCAATTTATAAAAAAAACGTGAACAAATGATGATGATTTGGGGGAAAATAGGAGTATGGTATTAACTAAGCAAGCACTTTTTATCCAAAATTATTTTAATTTCGGCAATGATCAAAAAACTAACATTTATTCCTAACAGCAGGGAGGTAGGGTGAGGGGGAATCATTTTCAAAGGGTAATGGAGGGATGATTTCCCAAGTAAAAATATACCCTTAGAGAGGAATTTTTACCTGTCGGTTGGGGTTAGTTTAAGGGTGGCGGCCTCCTCCCTCCTTCTCTCCTCATCCTCCTGCCTCCTCTTCATGTCCTTCAGCTCAAACTAGAATAGGATTGATAGATATGTATGGAGATCAAAACAAGATAGATAAATAAGTATGTAGATCAAAACAAGATATATATGCATATATATACATAGATAGATAGGTATGTAGATCATATCAAGCAAAATAAATATAGATAGGTAAGTATGTAGATCGAACAAGATAGATAAATATAAATAAGTGTGTTTTCAAAACAAGATATACAAAGACAAGTATGGAGATCAAAACAAGAAACAGGGTTACCCATAAAGAATGAGACTACAGAGACAACTGTACGAAAGAACGAAATTGATACTATCTGTTTCCTTATATTCATGACTTCCTGTAACTATAAACTTATTTCTTTCTTTGCTAGATCAATAAATAAGCCCGTTAAAAGACCTAATTCCAGGCAGAGGACTTGATTTTAACTTGTGATCGTAATACTTAAAGAGTTTCATCAAGTCGTTTTTACAGTTTCATCCTTAGCAGGGTTGCCAAGTGGTTCTGTACGGAACCAAATAACTCAAAAGTGGTTCTCTAGAAAAGTTGTGGTTCTGGTGGTTCCCATCTGGTTCCAAATTTTTTTTTGGTATATATTGAGGAAAACGTTAAAATGGTTAGATTTAGCAAATCATTTTTAGATAATTCTTGAATAAAATATTCTGATTAATGAAAATGAAGGGATATTTTTATAAACTTATTAATTTAAGCACCTCCATTCCCTTAATAATTTAATGCCCACTTTATATTTGATGTGATAGTTTTGCATCTGCCCTCAACTAAGCGGGTCACGTACCTTTTTAAGGTCTACAGATTAAAGGTTCAAAAAATTTATACTGTAAGGAACCATTAAGAAGACAGATAGATAAACCAAACTAAATGAAACACAAAGAAAACGATTTCCACCCTTTTCGATGCTTTTTATCAAAAAAAGAATGGTTTCCAAGCATTTCAGCAATTCGAGAGAGAGAGTTGGGATATTGTTGAAAAAGTGATATCTCCATAATATGACAAGGTATGTTTGCCCCGACTTACCGTAGTTAATCTCTCTAGCGCGGCAAATCTTTCTTCCTGCGCAGCGGCAGCTTTCTCAAATGCTTCGTGCTTTTTGATCAGATTTTCAACCTCATCAATCGTCTGACCGTACTCGTCGCTCTTCAGATACGGGTCCTAGGATAACACCTCAATCAATATAATTGAAATATAAAATTAGTTAGCGAGTTTTTTTGAAAGATTATTTTGTACAAAATACCACAGTGGACTAATAAAACTGTGAAATAGGAAGACGACATTTTACTAATTCTCTGTATCTTTCATGATGTTATACAATACAACCCTAGAAGACTCGGAATCAATTTACAATGAACTAGACGACTTTACAATCTATATTTAAGAATATGAATGATATATGAACCGTAGTCCTGCCATTTCCATTTTCCATAACGTGGTCTTCCATTTTAGTTTGTTTAAAATAACCAGAGAAATATATGTAACTAGGCTTTTAGGGCGCTTCGCGCCCATCTTCAATTTCAATATGAAAAATGCTATTTACGACACGTTCGTAGGCATTGTTTTCGAGTCGTATTTCAGTCGTTTTTTAACATAAAATTTCTGCCCGGGCTAAAATTTGACATAGTGTAAGAAAAAATAATAATAAGAAAATACATTTAAAAATGAATTTGCCTTTTGCACACTATGCTTAATTTTGGCCCTGAAAGAAAACATAAATAATAAACGACCCAAAAAAAGAACCCTAAGGCACATCACTACTACTTTATTTACCTGTGCCATAAGCCAGGCTTCAGCAACTGCTGCATCGCGAGCAAACTGATAAACTTCAAGAATAAGCTGAAGATGTTCCCATCTCTCCTCCCACCTACAAACAGCCAAGGTTCAGGACTTTGTCCAGAAATAGATTGTTCACTGGTTAAGGTTTAAGTCTAGATTCAGGAAAGGTCTAAAGTCCAGGTGAAGGTTTGAAGTCTAATTAAATGTAACTTAGCGTGAGTAATATGTACTCTGTAAAGGTCGAAATTTCATGTGAAAGTCTTAATAAACCCAGGTAAAAGGCTAATGTCCATATAAAGTTGGTAAATGTCTGAAGTCCAATGATGTAAATGTCTGAAGTCCTATGATGTAAAGTACTAAGCTCTAATGCCCATCTAAAAGTCAAAAGATCTCAAGTCCAGGCAAAGGTTCGAAGTCAAAAAAGGTCAAAATCCCGGGTAAAGGTCTCCGTCTCAACGAATCAAAATGATTATTGACGGTTAACTGATAAAGTTGGTAAAAAAACAAACATTAACCGATGATAAAAATCTCTAACCTGTGGATCATTCCATTTCTCTTGTCGGTCAACTCCATCAGCTTTTCTTTAATCTCGTTGCTAGCATAGTGAGACCTAAATTATGATAATGTAGAAAACTGTATTGGAATTAATTGATAAGAAATCCTAGAACATTTTGATAGTATTTTTGTTAAACAGAGCTGAGGTGTTGTAATTCTTGCGGAGTTTTATCTCCAATTCAGCAAAAGTAAAAAAACAAACAAATCCTTTTCTAAGCTTGTTAACTAAACGCCCTTTTTTGTTTCTTGTACTTTGATAGTGAAAAAGAGGGGGTATCGAAAATTTGAAAATAGAAAAAAAATTGACTCAAATTTCACAAATTTCCCCCATCATCATCAACCCAGCAATAAAAGCATAACAAAAATATTATTTAAAAATCAAATATGAACAATTGGATAACATTTTTCCAAAAAATAAATTATATTTTTCACTAAAAACATTCCTATTATACTAATGGAAAAGGGGGAATGATTTAAAGAGAATATCTACCCCTAAATTATTTTAAAGGGGAAGTTGGGGGGAGGGGGGGGGGTTCTATTTACCTGCTGAGCAGCTCCTTGCCTAGACTGTAAACATCTCCGAAGATATCCTCCCTTGTATCAATCTCTGCCTTGTGTCCCTGGTGATTATTCATGAGAAGTTCTACTCCAGACACGTCACGAGGCTTCTCACTGGTAGACATCTTAACACAAAGGACGAATTTGAAAAAAGGAAAAAATTTAAAAATTAGAAGAATTTCATCCTTTATATGCTGTTTGATGCAGCTTAAAATAATCTTGATTAGTAAAATGTCTCTTTGTACAATATGTACAGAAATCATAGCTTGAGTCTGACAGTCGTCTTTATGTACAGAGAAATATTTTTATTTTCCCCGTCACAAAAATATTTTAACACTTTTCTGATATTTGCTAAAGGTGATCTAGTTATTTTTACTCCCCCCTCACAAAATTACATTTTTAAGGTAATTAAAACGCATTATTTAAAATTCGTTAAAATTATGAAATTTTTTTTAACGTTTCCGAGATTTTGAAAATGTGGCCTGAACCGGACTCAACTGAACTCAAGTTCCTACCTGTCTCATGAGATCGTCCATCCACAGCATCAAGTTCCTGACCATAGCAAAGAACCTGAACAAGTCTCCGGTATCGTTCAACTTCCTCTTCCTGGAGTCTCCGAAAGCCTGGAGCTCCATCCAGGCCCTGACCACCTCCCTCTCTCTGTTGGTGATCTCCATAGCCTTTTCCCCTGCATAAGCAGCCTGCAGCTTGGCAGAGTCCTCTTGGATAGATGCTACTTGCACCTACACAAAAAAAATGGTAAAGTTTTGACAAGAAATTTTGGAAAATATTCTTGAAAATTTAAACCTACTTTTGATATGAACATGCCAAATATTTTTAAAATTGAAATACTTATTCAAGGAGTTTACGAAAATGTGAATTAATGGTTAACAAAATTTTAATTTACAGAGTCACAGATTAGAGTTCTTGAAAATGTATCATAATTTGGACATTTGTAACTAATAAATAAGCTTAAGAAAAAAGATAAGAGGAAGAGTTCACCAGTAGTGACATCAAATCCTGGAGGAAGTTGTGATGTTTCCTCTGCAGCATACTGACAGTTGCTCCGTCCCGTCCTAGCTCATCCGACATGGAGTTCTGCTTCTCCAGGATCCTGGATAACACGTCCTTGCAGTCATGGAAGTACTTGTGGAGCTCCCTGCTGGCATCCAGCATCTGGTTCCTTGTGTCAATCAATTCAAGGAGATCAGCCCAGGCATCGTTCAGAGAATCCTGAACAAATTTTATATTAAACATTTCAAAAAAATAAAAGAAACGCGTAATTCCCAGTGTATTTAGTTCATTCTCAGGGGACCTTTAATTCTTATGGTAGCCTGTATAACTTGTTCTGATCCAAGAATGAATGAGATATCAATGTATTTCTCTTTAAAAATTGAGTATTATTAATTGTAAGGTTTATTTTATTATTGTTGGTCAGATTAGAATTAACGGATACTGTTGAGAATTGGGCATGCCTCTTTTTTTTTTTAAATTGAGGGTCATTTGAAATTACATATTACAAGGGAAAATTTGTGAAAGAAACTGAATATTTCACCTTCCATTGTGCTATGGTAGCAGCATCAGTATGTCCCACACTGATCAGAGAATCAGCAATCTCATTTGCAGCTTCCACGCGCTCATTTCCAATACTTTCAGTTTCCTTGGCAAACTCCTTGAACCTCTCGATGAGAAGGGAAACATGCTCGTAATCCTGGCCGAGCTCATGGGAGCCAGCTACAACCTCACGCTCCGCGATCCACTGTTCGAGGTCATCAACCTCACGGTTGAGTCTGAACAGTTTCAAAGCGTCGTCCAACTTAGCGCGTCGCTCATTTGCCAAATCCTTCAGTCCTGCGTAAAGTTTGTCAACCTGGCCAATTCTGACAGCAATAGTTTCGCTGTCAGGATGCCCGTCAGCGATGAGCTGACGTGCTGTTTCTCCAAGTTGTCGAACTGCCTCGGAGTAATCCTCGACAGCACTCTCCTGAGTCCTGTGCTTCTTCATGAGGTTCTCAGCGGAGAACTCATCCTTACCCCTGTCCTCGACCATCATGTAGAGTTCCTGCTCGGACATCCAGGACTCTGCTTCTCCTGCATCGAACAGGAACTGCTGCACGCGCTCGTTGACGAGCAGCTGCTGTCTTCTGGCCTCCAGGAGGTCCTTCAATGCTTGCCACTTTTCAACCAGTTCATCCAGCTTCTTGTTGAACTCCTCGGCTTGAGGATGCCCCTCAGAGATGAGTTTGGTACCATTCTCCACAACACTGTTAACTCTGTGCTCATGATTAGCAATCTCACCAGAGGTCATCTTGTTCTTCTTCAGAAGGAGGTTGACAGCCATGAGGCTATTTCCAACCTCTTGACTGGAGGCCAGAGCCATCTTCTCCTCAATCCAGAGGTTCTCATCCTCCACATCTCTTTTGAACTGGAAGGTTTCTTTCTTCTTGAGAAGCTCTGCCTTCCTTGCCTCGATCGGTGCCATAATGGCTCCGAATCTCTCCTCCACCTTGGCCTTCTTGGCGACAATCTCCTCCATATTTTCTGGTTCCATCCTGACCAGATGGTCGGCCTGTCCCTCCAACTCTGTCATCTGTTGACTCTTGACAATAAGCTGGGTCTCGATCAACTGCTGCTTCTGCATCATGATGTTGACAGAGGTCAAGTCCTTCAACTCCTCCATGGGCTCGGTTTCTATCTGTGCCTCAATATCCCTGGCAAAGCTATCAATATCGTCACAACTCTGGTCGTAAAGATCTGCACGTTTAGCATCAAATAAGCGCTCTCCCTTCTCATGGGTATCAGCCTAGGATAGAGAAATGTTTAAAAATAAAATTCTTAGGTTTTTCAATATTTTAAAGAAAGTGTACCTGCAGCTTCTCAAACTGTGCATGAAGCTCCTCTAGTTTAGGGGCAACAAGATCCTGCATCTCAGGCTTAGCCTGGAGCAGAACCTGACCAGACTGCTGAACCTAAATTATAGAAAATATAAACATGGTTATGTGCTATGAGCATATTGAATTGGCACCGATACAAAAATTGTTACAATATATGTGAACACAATTGAATGTTCGACAATTATCTGCATTCGGAAAATGATTTTATTTTATTTTTGTTGTATTTATAAACTTTCCTGTAATTTTAAAACTGGTAAAATAACATTACACACTACACAAGTTAAACTGAAGAAGGGGAACTATTTTTATTTTTTTTTTTTAAACGTAGAAGGAAGAAATTATAACATTTTTACATTTCCCCAACATTTTGAAAAGTAAAAAATATTACCTTCTCCAATCTCTCCTTGTTGCTGAGGATCTCTGACTGGAAGGCCTGGTGACGGGTCCACTTGGAGTGGATGGTTCGGGCAGATCTAGGAATCAATCAGTCAAACAATGTTATCAACAAAACAAGTAAGAAATGCCAAACCAACGAAGGTAAGCGTGTCTTGAAGATCTATTCTTTTATGTATGTTAGTTCGTTTTGGCAAATCACAATTTGATATTTATTTTGTTGGGAATGTGGAAATCTGAACAGAAAAATCCGCAAAATACGATTTACAAAGAAAAATGGCAACTAAAAGACTAAAATAGTTACCAGAGTGGAAGCCTGGTGAGTTGTGAACTTGATTGTTTAACAATTGATGTACTGCTTTGAACAAAATACTACCAAGAGCTATTTTTGTACCTGTAAGTGTCCTGTTGTACAATGACATGTCTCTCCTGGACCCAATCCGTCAACTCCTCGCAGTCCTGGAGGAAGTTGTGCAACATATGCTGATCCTTGATCCTCTCGTGCTGTTCGATCGCCTCCGCCCTGTTCTTCTGTCTCCTCTCCGCCAGTTCTTCCGCCTTCTTAGAAATTTTATCGGCTGCAAAATGCTCTTCTTGGACAAGGATTTGGGCGCTTTGAAGCACGCCATTAACCTTGTCGTCGTTTGCATCCATGGTGGTGAGAAGAGCTTCGTGCTTCTTCAGGAGTGTCTCCGCTTGCTCCAAGTTTGCTGGGGACTCGTCCTTGCTGAGCATATGCTCCTGCTGTGAAAGCAAGACTTCAGCCTGCTTTGCGTCTCTGTTAAACATCTGCAGAGAAAGAGATTGTGAAAGGAGAGATTGCCTGTTCTCCCACATCTGATGAACCTCAGTCCATCCATCCTGAAGTGCCTTCAGTCTCTCTCTAAGGAACATATACTGGGGATCGTCGAAGGTTGATGGGTCAGCTGTGACCTTTTCACCATACTCCATCATGCTGCTATAGTCAGTGACATAGCTGTCAATCTCTTCCCTGATCTGCTGGTGCATAGCCAACAACTTCTCTGCTTCTGCCAATGAGGATGGATTCTCCTGGTTGGCAATATCTGACTCAGTCTTACTAAGCCAGGCCTGGAAGTGATCTAGATCCTTCAAGAATCTGTGAAGGTCTCCAGCCTCCTCTAACTTCTCATCCCGCTCCTTCAGCATAGCTGTCAGGAGGTCCCAGACCTCTCTGAGTCTGTTAGTCCTCTGTTTAATGATAACAGCCTCTTCAGGATGAGAAACAGAGATCTTATCAGCCTCTTCATCTAGGGCGTCGAGCTTAGCCTGAATAGCAGCAAGATCACGCTCCATACCAGACAGCTTTCTTTGGAGGGTCATGATACCAGTAAGGTCCATCTTAAGCTCATCTGTCTGTTCAAGGACTCTCATCTTGTCCTCAATCCATGTAACAGTCTCACGACATTCAATGTGGAAGATCTGTACTCCATGGGCAGAGATCAATTCTTCACGCTTCATCTCTGATCTCTCCCTGAGGGAAGACCACTTGGAGTTTAGTTGGTTCTGCCTGGAGACAATCTCCTCAGAATTGGGATGATCAACATGCAGAAGCTGACGAGCAAGCTGGTTGACAACCGCAACACGGCTTGCATTAGCATTCATCTCACGGTCAAAACCATCAAACCTATGCTTCATAATTTCACAGTCCTCGATGTCCTTGCCGGGGACCATTGTCACCAACATCTTCTCCTTCTCCGAGATCCATTGCTCAACTCCATCAGCCTCAGTGAATAGCTTGTACAGAGACAAAGCATCAAGAAGACGCTGCTTCCTAATCTTAGCCATCTCAAGCAGCTCCTTATACCTCCTGTCTATAGATGCAAGGCGTTCAACCACAGGACCAGACTCCTTGTCCTCATCTCCTAGGGCAGCGGCCTGTTCATGCAGAGCATCAATGGTTCCCTGATAGTTCTTCAATTCCTCGGTGACATCCTTGTGTTTCTTTAACAAGGTCTGCACATTGCTTTCATCCTTACCAATATCATCAGAAGAGACAAGCTTAAGGATGTCAAGCATCCAGTTGTCCACGTCATCAGCATCAGTGAAGAACTGGTGGAAGTCCACACCATCTGTCAAGCGTTTCTTCCTGGCATCCATGAGAGCGATGAGCTCAGACCACCTGGAGGTAACGTCCTGGATCCTCTCTTGGATCTTGGCAGAACCAAAGTGTCCCTGCTCAATCAGTTCATCTCCACCACTGATAGAAACCTGATGAAACAAAGAACTAGAAAAATTGGAAAAGGTGAAACTAGCTATTTAAGAATAACGAAAAGTTGAAAATATTTTTTTTAAGAAGAAAAATTGTAAAATGAAAAAAGTCTCTACCTGCAAAGCAGACTCATGTCCCAATATTTCTGTCTCCAAAGTTTTGTGCTTACTGAGCAGAAGATTGATGGTTGTTAGATCATGACCAATATCTCCCTGGAGAAGGATGTTCTCCATCTCCTTGATCCAGTTCTCCTCCTCAGCCATGTCCCAGTAGAACTGCCACAATAGTCTGCTCTCTTCGAGACGAGACCTGAAGATTTGAAGAGGTTAATATTATTAATTTTTATGTTCATTTTGATGCAAGTTTGTGGTGTCCCCTAGGCCTAGCCAAGCCATGATTTTAATATAAACGGTAGTCAAATTTTTTTCTTTTTTCAAAAAATGGAAATGTTCAGTGAAACTAAGTAAGCAAATCATTCTAATTAAGTAAATATCAATGCTTCTTAAACTTTTGGAGAAAAGGAATAATTTGAAAAAAAGATTTTGAAATCATTAATTCTGACAAACCTTCTTTCCACAGCAAACTTGACAAGCTCTGCGTATCCGTCCTCCAGATTTTGAACACGCTCAACAATAATCGAAGGATCACAAGCACGGTATCCATCAGCTGCCTCTTCATCCAGGAACCTTTGGCTGTGCTGGACAACCTGGATTGATGTTAATTAATAAAAAGATCATTAAAAATGTTGAATACTGGGGCAAGGGTTATTTTGAAAGATTGGTGGAAAAATAAAATTTTACCATTGTCTCATTTATATTAAGCAGCTTGATATGCATTTCTACATCAAAATCTTAAGATGATTTCTTCCTTTGTTTCGCATATTGATTTATATTTGTTACTTTTTTATCTATTTTCTTCTCTCATAAGTTATATTTGCAGAGCAAATTAAAAATACGAATAAAAAAGTGGCCTCATATTGATAACAATTACAATATAGGCTGTTGAGTTTTAATCTATAAAAAGTTTAACCTGCTTAACCCTCTCTCCTAGTACATTAATATCTGCCTCTACTAGACTATGCTTCTGCAGAAGATCCTCAACTCCCATCAGATGTTTACCGAAATCATCAGATAGTAGTCGGAGCTTCAGTTCTTCCATACTGTCCAGGATATAAGACATTTCCTACAATAATATAAACATATAAGACAGATTTAAGTGAAAATAAATGAAAAATCAGTATTGTTGAACTGTAAACTCAAGAGGACCATGCCCAATTCATAACTGTATCCTAAAATCTTGATCAGAGTCTAAAACTAAAGAATGCGCGAATTTTAAGTTCGTGGTTAAAAGTTCTGTAAAATAATGAATAGCTACTTAAATATTAAACTTTCTCAATTTTAAATTGGAATTTCCCGGGAAAAATCTGAACCAATCAGAAAAAAGGATTTACGGAGACTATTACATAACCATCGCTAATCAGCTGTTCTTACGTAACCGAAAACAAAACATATTACGAGTTACAACCGTTTTTTGGGTTTACATCCAAAAATTAATTTATCTAAAACGTGAAATTTCTTTAACAAGGTTTTCACTTTTAAATATATCGTAAAGTTGAATGCCGCTTCCTCAGCTGCAGCTGAATGATGATTGAAATTTGAATAATAGACAAAAAAGGAAAATGCAGGATTTCAAGATAATTTAAACCTCTGTTTAAATTTTAACTCGTCGATTTCGGCGAGTTAAATATTTAACCACAGGGTTAAATATTTAACGTTACGGTTAAAGTTCAGGTTTAAATTAAGTCAAAAGTGGCATTTAACCATGAACTTAAAATTTAAGTCAAAACTTTTCGTTCTTTAGTTTTAGACTCTGATCAAAGTTGTGGAAGATAAAGTCGTTTAAAGAGTAAAATCTCACAATTTCCTCAAATATTACTATAGCATAAAATCCAAATACTATTTTTTTTATTTCAGTAAAATATAATAATATTAATTTTATTATAGTTTGCAAGACATTTTTTGAACAAATATAGTTTATAGAATAGTTTACCTGGAAGCTGTGTTGAAGTTGAAGACTGAGTTCTAATCTCTGTCTCCTAGCTCTGAGTAGCTCTAAGAGATACTGCCACAACCTCAACACGTTCTCCTTCCTAGCGTTGATTCTCGCAATATCATGATAGTTCTCCTGCTCAAGCTCCATAGCAACCTGCTCAACTGCTGTCACTCGCTCTTCGTATGCAAAAATATCGGTCTCAAATCAATGAATCAATGAATTCAAGCTCCATAGCAACCTGCTCAACTGCTGTCACTCGCTCTTCGTATGCAAAAATATCGGTCTCAATAGCTTCATGCTTCTTCGCGGCGGCCTCAACGGCCGCGAGGTCGAAGCCGAAGTTGTCGGCAGAGACAAGACGTTGATTCTCGGATAACCAAGTTTCGCGCATTCCTGCCTTGCGGTTGAACCTAGCCGCTAGCTGTTCAAGTTTCTCTTGACGAATGAGTTCTTCGCGCAGCGCCAGTTCACGCTCGTGCTCGGCCTTTTCTAGGCGCTCCCAGGCAGAGTTGATGTCCCTGATCATCTTGCCCTCCTTAGGGGTGTAGGGGACTTTGTTGTGCGCACGCATCTTAGACTGGAGGGTAAACAGGAGAACTTCAAGGTTTCCTTTCTCCATAAACTTCGGAGGTTTCTCCTTATTCCTGCAGACAAAAAACAGGATCATAATAATAATAACCAGTCAACCATTTTTCCGTAGAAATGAAGGCCAAGTCCTTATAGCAAAAAAAATCAGCATAAGGGCCATGCCACCAAATATTTAAAACAAGCAAGTTTTAAGCACTGATCTAAAACCTTTGATCTTATATAGAGGATGTCCCAGATTTATCAGATTTCCTTTAAATTACAATATTTAAAAATCTAGAAACTCGAAGAAATCCGAAAAGCTCACCTGTACGCATTAAACTGTCCTAACTGCTCCTGTACTCCCCGAAGAGAATTTGCGAAGTTTCTGTCCGATAATTCTTCAATTATCTAGAAGAAACAACATAGTATACTACTATGTAAGACATTTTTAAGTCTTTTTTCGTTTTTTTTTGTTCTTTTACCTGTTGGATCCAAGCGAGAAGATCTGAAGTAAAGGATTCGTATTCTTGAATCATTTTATCAATCTCCATCTCAATACCAAGAACCTAAATCAATCAAAAAATCAATTAACACTTCATAAATCATTTCATTATTTAATAATTAGAACCTTAATTGATCATTTAATAAAAACACAGGGCCTTAATTGATCTATTAATCTATAGTACCCAAGACCTTGATTGATCAATTAATCAATTTATTAATTAATAAATCAATTTCTCAATTTCTCAATTTCTCAATTTATACTATGATCTATTTACACTGTTTCACCTCCCCCCGCCATGATTTAATTAAATTGCACCCACCCCATATAATCTAATTGAACTGTTTCTCCCCCCTCAACTAAGAAAAGAAACCCTACATGGTTTACTTTTAAGTTAACTTAATTAGAACAACTGTTTTTCCTTTATTTTTATTGTCACATGTTTTTTTATTGGACTAAGTCTGACATCATATCTGTGGCATGGAAGCTAGGCTGGGCTCCACTTTGCAACAATTAACTCTCGATTTTATCAGTTTCTTGAGAAACAAATTCTCTCAGCCAGTGTATCAAACATTGAAATACAAAAATAACGGATTTATCAAATATTGAAAATTAAAATCCTTTAGTACAAAATCACGAATATATTTTCGATGTTTATTTTACTGTTCCCCCCTCCCCCTCTTCCACTTCCTCAAGTTCCTTTTAACCAAAACAAAACAACTAAATGTTTACCTTAGCAATTCTTTTTCCTTGAACTGTCTCCTGCTTCAGCTTACTGCAGTACAGAATACACTTGGATATTGTTTACAAACAAACATTTTAATTAATTTTTTAAAACAGTAATTTTATTTAGAGAAAGAACCCCTATTTTTACTCGGAAAAAAACTAATGAAGAAATAAAAATAATAAGGAGAAAACCAACATTTTATTAAATTGGGGACCTACCCCCCCCTACCCCCCCGGACCCATCAACATTTCCCCTGAACAAATATCTAGTGTACACTGTGTACATCCCTGAAGTAATGGTAGTACGTCACAACGTAGGTGATGATCGACTTCTCATCGGGTTGATCAACGAATACGTCCTCGGCATCGAGAAGTTTGACGAGGCCGAACTCCTTCTCCGCTAGGTTAAAGGCGTGGTTGAGGTTGTGCATGGCGTTGCTCTTGGATAACTTCTCGTACTGAACCAGGTCAGATCTAATAAAAGATGTATAATATAATAATATTAGAAAAAAACTGAATCTAACAAATTTATGGTGAGGCAAAGGGGGTGGTCAAATTCGGGTCGAAGTATGTATATAATCGTTATCTAACCCTAGATATACCTGTGTTTATGAATGATAGCATTGAATGCTAAACCATCTCTCCAAGATGTTGTAAAGTTTCTCACGTTCACATTGTGATATCCAGCAGTCTTCATCTGGCACCTGGAGAACAAAAAATCAATTGCAAATGATCAATTACAGATCGATCTTTTTATACATTGATCACCAATTTGAAAAATATCAGAATTAAAAACAGATTTAAGAATTAAGAAGTAAATCAACCTAATGAATGTAATTACAAAGCATGGACGAACTAGTGAAGGAATAAAAAAAAGAATAATTGGATGAAATGAGCAATGGAAGGATGGATGAAACGATCAATATATTGATGAACCAATGAATCAATGAATCAATGAATCAATGAACCAATGAACCAATGAACCAATGAACCAATGAATTTATGAATCAATGAATCAATGAATCAATGAATCAATGAATCAATGAATCAATGAATCAATGAATCAATGAATCAACGAATCAATGAATCAATTAATCAATGAATCAATGAATCAATGAATCAATGAATCAATGAACCAATGAATAAATGAACCGATGAATCAATTGAATCCATGAAACAATGAATAAATTAATCTCCAATCAATGATTTAGTGAACCAATGAATCAATGAACCAATGAACCATTGAACTAATGAACCAATGAATCAATGCACCAATGAACTAATAAGTCAATGCATCAATGCATCAATGAATTAATGATTAATGATTAATGATTAATGACTAATGATTAATGATTAATGATTAATGATTAATGATTAATGATTAAATGACCTGAAATGACCTCCAAAATAAAAATGCTTTAACTATGGCTTTATGCATATCAATTGAAAGCTAGAAACCCAGGAAATATAGTAGCTGCAACAAATCCAGTGTTTGACCTTCTGATGATCTCTAACGACCTCTAATAGTTAAAACATTTTCATTTTTGGAGGTCATTTAGGTCATTAGAGGTCGTAAGAGGTCATTAAAGGTCAAGCACTTGATTTGTTGCTGCTACTGTATTCCTGGGTTCCTAGCTTTCGTTTGATATGCGTAAAGCCATAGTTGAAATATTTTCATGCATAAAGCCAAGCCATAGTTGAAATATCTGCAAATCTTCCAAAAAATTGGAAGATTTGAACCAAAAATGAAGGCAGCCATCCCCCCCACCCCCACATCAAATTGGACATCTCCACCATCCCCTTGAAAGAAAATATTTCGCTCATTGAACTCTGCCAATAAATAAAATAAAATCAGGAACTAAGGGTTCAACGTTCATACTTCAAATCTAAAATGGCTTTATTGAATTCATTCAGATCTGAAGCTTGCCCTTGAAGTTTGAAACGGATCAACTATTTTCTAGACAAGATTAACGTAAAAATCCTTGTCACTAAATACATCAACACAACACGACCATAAATAAAAGCAACATTTAAAAGTTACTTCTAGATACTTACAATAACAAACAAACAGCAATTTGACCTCGATAACAATCATGACTCCCAATGACAAATATAACAGTGATCTCAACGACGTATGAACACATATCCGATTCAGAACGTTAATCTTTAAAGCTTTGCTTGATCAGCCGTGAATGAGATATTTCATTTTATCTTTGCCAGAATGAACACTCTTCAAAATAGAAAAAAAGACGATATCTTCCAACCTTTTGATTAGGGTACCGTTGTGAACACAGACATGCTCCTCTTTTTTAAATGAAGAACCATTTGAATTACGACTACAGTCCCTTTAATGGTGATAAAACTGACCTAAATGCACTCTCTGCTCGTAAAGAAAGCTCAGAGCCTTGTCAACATTCTCCAGGCAGTGGATCCTCATCTTGCCCTTCGTCGGCCTCGGCTAGATAGATAGATAGATATATACATACACAGAAATACATAGATATATAGTTATAGAGATAGACAAATAGATAGATAATTCTATAAAAATTAAATAGATATATAGACAGAAAGATGATGGGTATATCAATAGATCATTAAATACATAGATAGATAGATAGGAAAGAAAGACAATTTAGAATAAATAGATAGATAGAAGAGATAGCATAAGAGATGGACAGAAAAAAATAGATAGAAAGATATTTAAGTAGATAGAGTCATGGATAAATAGAAAGAAGGATAGTAAAGAAATCATAGATTAATTTATTTGTAAAGATAGATAGATATTTAGGAGTTTTAGAGTTAAACAATTAAAAATCAATGAGTTTGATTGATAAAAGGTAAATAGATGTTAAAAAGATAGATTGGTGGATAGGTAGAGAGATAGATCAAAAAGATAATCTTGACAATATCCACTGTGGAAACTTTTCATTTTAGTCCTAATCCACTCTTTTTCTCTCTCCTTGGATATCCGTTAATTGTTTTCTCCAATGAGAATATTTCTCATTGGTTGCCCGCTTTTCTCTGATTGGCTGCTACAGTTTCTCAGATGATTACATATTAACTTGAATTTTTTCGTTTTTCATACACTTTTAAGATAGTCTTGCAAGATTATGTTAATCTTGAGATTATCAAAAAGAGAGGATCAAGCATTAATCCTGATATCCACAATTCTAAAGTTCCCAGCTCAGAGCTGAAAACTTTAGAATATGATATCCTTAATACTGATCTGTAAATTAATCTGGAGATTAAATTCATGAGGAGAACAAGCAATATTTAATCTGGAGATTAAGAAAAAGAGTGGATCAAGCATTAATCCCGATATCCACCATTCTAAAGTTCCCAGCTCAAAGCATACATTTTTTACTCATAACAAATTGAGCTTGATTAGGGTTTTGTGCGCATTTTTAAAAATATATTAACTACTTTTGAGATCCCTGATAACTCGGTTGTAAACATCTAGAAGTACACGATCCTTCAAATCCTTCAGACAAACAAAATGTCGTCTGTCATCTGTCGGGTTATCATGTGTCCCGTCTTTCATCTGTCCGTTTATCAGATATCTCGCGTCTGTCATCTTTACGTCTAAATCATTTTATGCTGATATAAATATTTTGTCTGCAAATTTCGTGTCCGATGTCCAATATTTTATATCTTTACTTTTTAGGACAAATTCGTTGAAAGGGACTTTCAAGGGACTTTCAAGGGACCCTCCGTTCGAAAAGGGGCATGCCCGATTCACAACGTTACTCTTTACCTTTACACCATTATCTGATCAATATTGTGGAGAAATCATAATTTTTCTAGCTTAAAATATCCTCTCTTGTTTCTGTATAGAGAAACCACAATTTAAAAAAAATGGAACTTTTTTGAATTTCTCATGCTCGCATTCTTGACCATACTTCGCTTTTCAGGGTCCCGTTGTAAATCAAACATGCTACTCCATAAACCGAGAGTCACTTGGAATTAAGTCTACAAGCCAAATTATAGTTTATCATTGAATAGTGCTAATACTAGATCTGACCAGTTCCATAATTTTCTATTAGCGGTCCTTTTTACTGAAATCAAATATGTTGACAAATATTTTTTTTTGATTAATTTTATGTCTGCCTGATTTTTGCTTATTCCAGGAGACTAAAAAATACTTTTTAAACGAATTCAAACTTTTTTCTTTTCAAATTTAATACTAAAGCAATATTTGATTGTTTTTTTAAAATTCGATTAAAAATATTTTTTTCCTTAGGCATAATATCGTCTTGTCCCGTTCTGGTAATGCAAAAAGTAGTTGGTTTTGCATAAAAATAAACGTGAGGTGCTATGGAAGTTGACCTACGGATACCTTCATCGAGAAGTTTATACCTAATTGTTGATCAGTTTTGTTAACACTAGACGTCTTATTTTAAATCAAATAAAACCAGTCGGTTTGACCAACTCGTTTGAACCTGTTAAAAAATATTCCCAATTCTAGGTTTAAAAATCCGTAGATCAGCTTCCCCTGATTCGATTGATCAGTGCATTACAATATACACTGTACAGTGTACAATGTATTTTAGTTAGTTCTATCTAAAGAAGTTTAAATAAACTGAACTAAGAAAAGAAACCCTACATGGTTTACTTTTAAGTTAACTTAATTAGAACAACTGTTTTTCCTTTATTTTTATTGTCACATGTTTTTTTATTGCTATTTCTTTATTTCCCTTCCTGTCCTTATAATCTCCTTCCTGTCCTTATAATCTCCTTCCTGTCCTTATAATCTCCTTCCTGTCCTTATAATCTCCTTCCTGTCCTTTACATCCGTGCTTTTTTCTTTCTGTTAAATCCCTTTTACTCTTTCCTGTCATACTTTCTTTTCTCTTTTCCCTCAAATTTTTTGAAATGTCAAAAACTTCAGAATACACTAATACATAAATCTAAATAATAAAACAGGACATTCTTATACATGTTCCCTATAAACGGCTGAACCGAAAGGGTTGACATTTTTTGAGGGAACCCTGGGGTAACATAGGCTAAAAAAATCATATTTTTTTAACATTTTTTTCTTGAAAATTTATTTTATTTATATTTTTTATTTTTTTTTATTTTTGAAGGGACAGATCGGCTATGTAAGGTAGTTAAACAGAGTATGCAGTATTGTTTACAAAATCTTCAGGATTTATTTGAGACATATTAATATTTTTAAAGATCTGTAAATCCTGAGTTTAAGCGCAACGTCGACGTTCAAAATCGTACTTTTGGGTGGATACGTTTTCAGAATTGCTTTTCTTAAAATTTTTAAATAACAACGACAAAAAATGTGAACTTACAAAATTCTACAGTAAACTAGTGGTTTAAGAACAGGTTGGGAAAATAAAAATTAATCTTATTATCGAAGTAAGTAATCTATTTCAATTATTAGTTTCTATTTTCTTATTATTCTAGTTTCTCATTATTTACAAAGATTTTCTGCAGATTTTCTGGAATTATTATTGAAAAGACGACATTTGAAGAATTTGAAGAAATCTGCGAACAAATTCATAGAAAATAAGAAATTCAATATAATAAAGAAAACGAAACAATTGATTCTAGCATTGATTTATTTGCATTCAAACTCAGTAATCATACATCGTGGAAAAGTTTTATAAGTTACAAATGAATCCTAAGTTTTATATGTCTCAAATGAATCCTAAAAAAGTTGTCCACAACACTGCATACTCAATTTAACTACCTTACATAGCCGGTCTGTCCCTTTAAATTAGATTTTTTAAATTCCACGGACAACACCGAGCACTTAAACTAGTTTTTTTTAAGATTTCAAACTACTTTAAAATCCCTGGTATTCAGTTCGATGTCAGTGTCAAACTTAAAGCTGGAAAATCTAGATCCTTCAAATCCTCCACCCCCTCCATTTGATCCAATTCCACTATCTCTATTTCCCTCCGAAGCATCACTAATATCGCTATTTTTCAAACAAAATGGAAATATTTTCGTGGATTTAGCTAGTACATCAGTCTTGTGGTTAGATACAAATAAATGAAGCGTTACGTAAAATAAATTGTCAATCTTAAAAACCAAATTTAAAATTTTAAATGTGCAAATTAGTGAATGGACGTTATGGCTTTATCTTCTCTAAACTTTGCTCTCCAAAATTTGCATTATCTTATCATTATCAGTATCTTATTAAATTTTTTTTTAAAGTAGACTTTGTGCAAAAATTTATTCGGAAGTGCATAATTTGTAAAGATACATTGAGTACGTTTGGTTCGACAAAACGTACACTTAAAAGTTCACTTAAAAATATTTTTGAGAAAAATACCAACATTTTTTATCTTTACTGAAGTTCAAAATACAATTGAATTTTTAGAATTGAAAGAAGCAAGAATTTTTAACTATTTTGTTTTGATGCCTGTGCATGAAGTAGAACTGTTCAGATTTTGTTTTAAAACTAGGGGACGTCAGTCGGTCCATCTTTAAAGGGGTTGTAAACCAATTTTGAAATTAATCACTTGTAAAATTTAATTTGAAATCATTCCAACTTTTAAAATTATGAAATTTTTTTTGCAATTAATTTAAATATCTTTCTAAAATTGACTGACAATCCCTTCAACTCCACGTATAGTTAGTCTGGAGCTCTAACATATAACGTTAAACTTGGATCTAGACTGATTCATTTTATTTCCACATGTCCTTCCTTATCTTCCCTAACCTCTCACCTTATCTTCCAATTGTTTTCAGTCAAATAAAATGCTTAGTTTGAGGTTTCAGACATTGTTCTTCAATCAGTAGAGTTTCATTGAGATAAGAAAATAAAATCATTTCTTTATTTTTTTGGACTAACATTGAAGGCCCTGTATTAAGGGGGGGGGTGACAAAAAATCACAGAAATGAGGAACATCTTTGAATAAATGACATGGCCAACCCGCCTCGTCAGATCGTGACTTAAAACAAAAAGCAATTTATGTTACAATTTTAAAAATTATTTTCAAAGCTAACCTGCCAAGGCTCTAATCCTGCTCCTCTCGAAGAGCCTGGAGCTGCTGTTCCCTCCGTCGTACTCGAACTCGAAATCCTCGATGGCCTCGCCTCCCTGCCCATTCAAGGGATCCCATCTCACCCCCACACTTATATCCGTGGTCATACTGACCTTGGGTGCAGCAGTACACTGCTAATGATCTGAAATGTAAACAAACATTTAAAAAGATCACCAATCAGTGGTATCAAAAGTTGAAGTAAATACAATTTTTAAAGGCCAACTTAAATGTTCATAATCACAGAAAACAAGCTTAAGTAAATCTTAATTACAAATATAAGCAAACATGTTTTTGAAGTTAAACAATACCGCATTAACAAATAAGAATTAATTAATTAGCGTTGTTCCTAAAAAAATGCTTTTCTTATTACTATTATCGCAAGTTTATGACTCATCAAAATTCTGTTACAAATTGATAAAATAAAAGGCAAATAGTTGCAGGAAAGTCGACGAAAAAAAAAGATAAAAGGAAGAAAAAATGGTTGAGTTTTATTTTACATATTGCACTAGCGTACACGTTGCCGACGTTTCTGAAAACGACCAAAAGAACAACATATGAATAGTTTACATATAAGATATATTCTGAGCGTAAATACATTTATTTTGTGTTCATCTACTCGTATGTTTATCTGTGACTACGTTAATTTCACTCTTCACTTCCGTCCCCTCCACCTTCTCCCACCATTGTTAAACCAGAATATTGAGTAGTTAAGTCTTGTATGATGCAGATTAAATTACAGGAATACTAATCAACTACACATAGATAGATGAGAGCAGGATAGATATATATATTTATGTGCATAATTATGTATCTATGCTCGGCACCAAGGGGATGGGGGACTAGATAGATGAGAGCAGGATAGATTATATATATCTATGCTCGGCACCAGGGGGATGGGGGCCTGAGTTTTTTTTTTTTAAATGTATCCCTGAAGTTTAAAATGTAAAATAAAATAATATTTTTCTATTTTACCAATGTTTGAAAAATCATCTAAAACTCCATTTTAATCTCAACTTCTATCTATAACAATAAAAAAAAACATTTTAAGAAGTTTTAAATTATTGTAAAAATAAACTATCGGTAATTACAAAAACTTTAAGTTCACAGTAGGCGAGGTGGACAATTATATAAATCATTTAATCTATTAATATATTTGTTGGTTTGTATTGAAACGGCTGAACCAATCGAATATCAATTTTTCAGTTGAATTTAAAATAGCTCAAGATAATATGTATGCCCGGACGAAATAAAAATTTGCCCAGCAAGCTTTTCGGTCATCTGATATTTTTGGAAATCCCTGAATGGATTTGTCTGAGAAATTTTATAGTTGTTTGATCTTTAAGATACAAAAAACTGGTGGCTTGGCTTTTGGAAAGCATCAAGGGGCGTTAATATTTAAACATTTAAATGTTTAAATTTAAAGCGGATTCTTTAAATATATGTTTATATATTATATGTTTATATATTATATGTATATATGTTTCTATGAAAGCCTAGACTAGAAACATGAATCACTAGTTGAGGAGGACTGCATAAACTTAACTGGGCTTTAAAACCGGTTACAGGGCTAAATATAGCGCACATAATAAAGTTAAATTATTTTATTAATTTTATCTTTCCGACATTTAAAAATAAAATAAAAATAAGAATAACCTTTTAAAGAAACCTAGTGTTTAACCCATTTTTCCCCGAAAATGGAGGCTTATTCTTACAATTAGCACATTCCAAAATTAGAAACCTTCTATTGAAATCAAAAAGCCATAAAAACATTTTGAAGTGTTTTTACACTGCTATTTGTATACATTTTGTTTTAAATTTAACTATTTTTCAGCAACTTACGATGATGAGGCCATATGTGTTTTAATGCAACTATATTCTTAAACAAACATTAAACCCGTGATCTTCTGATTTATCTTTTATTTCTTTCCGTAGACTTTTCTTCACGTACTTTTACTGCATACATGATACAGTGTAAACTTATCAATGTTTTTTCAATATTTCAACTAAAGTTTTTTATGTGTTTATGTTGTGTTGATTCTCAGGACTCCTAGTAACCGAGTAAGAATTAAAAAAGAAGCAATGGATTTAAAGTTTTTTTTTAACAACATTTGAACTTCAGAACTTATCAAGAAAAACAATTTGTACACAACTTATGAAATATTTTAAAACAAAAATGCATGTATTAATTTAGAAAACACCAGTCACAGAACATCCCTTTCAAAACCACACCTTATTAAATTTACAAGGCAGCAGTACACTGCTAATGATCTGAAATGTAAACAAACATTTAAAAAGATCACCAATCAGTGGTATCAAAAGTTGAAGTAAATACAATTTTTAAATGAAAAGTGATTTTTATTTATAACCTATTTATGGCCGACTTTATTTGCAAAAAAACCTTTGTTTGCCATGGTTAAACGTCGGCTTTATTCGGTCTTTTAATTAGAAATGTAGTTAAATATTAAAAAAATATATATTCTTGGCATTATTAAGTCGACCTCCTTTACAGATGATTTTTTAAAATGCTTGCACTAAGAATTTTTTTTAAATCAATCAGTTTAAACAAATTGTTTGGTTGACTTAAATAAACAATTTTAAAAAATCAGATTGGTCCAGGGTTGGAGTAAATCCAAACTGAAATTCGAATTTACAGACTGAATGAATACGTCATTCATTCCATGCACTTCACACTGGTTGTGACTGCATTATACATTTAAATAATAAAAAAGACCCCCCCGACAACAAATGCAATATTAGTTTAGATGATTTGTAAAACATCATAAAGCTGTGTTTTCAATATTTACTGTTTATCAATTGACAAAACAAACAGAAGAAAATATGGCAAGTAAAAATAACTTGCTAAATAGGGGGGGGGGGGGGCATGTATGTTTTAAGTTATACAAAACTATAATCTGAACTTTTTTTTGAAAATTGCCTTGTTTACGTTAGAATCATTAGAATGTGAAATTTTGAGAAATTAATAAAATTTTACAAATAACAAACGAAAATGTTTAAAATGCTAAGTTCAATTTTTGTAAAATATTTATTAATTAAATTTTAATTTAATCTCATAGAATTTTATTTGATTGGATTCCATGCATAATAGAGATTTTCTGGTGATATGATATACCCTTGACTCTCGAGCTTCATTGTGAACTATGTACAGTGTAAATGCATAATGTTTATTGTTTTTTTCCAGAAACTGCCGGAAATAATAAAAATAAAAAATAATAATAAAAGTTAATGCAAGCTCAATGCTAATCTCAAATCAAGTTACATCAGATGAGTACATAATTCACATTTGTTGTGTATGTTATTTCGTTTTGATTTAAATTTATTTTGGTCTGAGTTCACCCTCTTTAATTTAATAGGTTAATGTTTAAACGATATAATCACCATCAAAATCAATAATATAAAATTAGAAATGTTACAAAAATCCCAGGAAAATAAGAATTAAAAACTTGTTTAAGATTTGTTAATTATCTTCTATTCGCCTTTAATGAAATTATTAAAGAAACTCCTCCCCTCCCCTCCCCCTCCCAAACAAATGTTTTTATACAAACATATGCCTCCATCCCTCTCTTCCATTTTTAAGATAATCGGAGAGCTTTCATAATATAATAAAATAAAGCTTTCCATTTATTTCCATTTATTTAGGGATTTGGTTCTTTTTTTACAACGGAATAAAATTAGGAAGGAATGAGCATGAAAAAAATAATGTCAGGCAGGGGCGCATTCAGGGAGGGGAAGTTAGCCCCCCCCCCAGTGAAATTTACGGATTTCAAGGGGTTTTCAGGCCCCAACGGGTGCTGACCCCCCCCCCCCCGATGAAAAAATTAAGCCCTTCCCCCTGGACAAATTTCTGAATACGGGACATTAAACATATAAATCACTAAAAACAAAAATGAGACACTTTCATAGCTTTATTATCGTAGCATTAAAGGAAATATGATTTTTGGAAAGTAAATAAACTTTAGGTATACTGTATAGGTATCAAAAAGAGAAAATTTCCAATTAATGTACAATTAATGTGTTCCCTTCAGAATCTTTAAAATATTATAAGACACTTTCTGGGCCGAGCGCTGCGGCTAGGATGGGCTAGGGGGCCGAGCGCTGCGGCCACGGGTTAGGTTAGTTAAGACACTTTCTGGGCCGAGCGCTGCGGCTAGGAAATCCTAGGGGGCCGAGCGCTGTGGCCACAGGGTCAATTATATCCATGTCTAACATATAAGATCCATGTACAAAATTGATAGGAAGGGGGGCTGGGGGGCGGGTCCAAAAATCGTTCACTAGGAATATACCCTACAAAATAAGATGCATGTTCAAAATCAATTGAAGGTGTCCATAAACGTAATTTCTAGATCTAGGATTATAAGCCCATTTAACGACCATACTTCCTTTAAATTCTTCTTTTACAATTTTAGCTTTCTTCTTAATTATAATATTTTAAAAAATTGATAAATTCCTTTTATCTTATTTTAATATTTACTCTACATTTTTCTCCCTTTCTTTAAACATCCCTTCTATCTTTTACATTCACTCCTGTAATCCTTCCAACTTATTACTCCTATCTGCAAATCTAGTTCACTAAGTCTGTTTTCACTAAATTCATCTTCGATTTAATCGACCCCTGTCAGCATCAAGAAAAGTTGTCCCACCTCAAAATAAACAATTTTGTTTGTTTGAGAAATATTAAGAAAATGGCTGCCGGCAACAAGCCTAGAACACACGAAAACAATACATCATTAAAGCGGCTTCATTTCTTA